TGTGTTATTTGGCAGAGAAGTTAGTTAGTGGCCACCAGAAGAATGGCATTAAGTTGAGGTAGGAGAAAAAGTCTGACGCCACTGAAAATCTGGACATTTCTGCCAACTACCAAAAATCAGCCTTTTGTCCTGGGAGAATTTTAGCAAGCTTACACTAGCTTAATGCATAGGCTGAAAAATAAGAAACATTGACTATGGCAGCATTATTTTTCCCTCAACCCAGCATTTTTCTCCCCTCCACCCCTCTCTTTTTCTTTCCATCAATGAAGGAAGCATGCATGTGTGCAAACGGGTATGCACACATGTGCGTTATTGTGTCTGTGCTGGAGATAAGCTGGGGAACTGGGCCCAGCCATGCTCCAATCCTGTTAGCATTAGCGATTAGCACTGGCTAACAGGCTCCTATTATAAGCAGGGGCTGATTCTCTGTCGCCTGACCGTACACATGCACACACGCACATGCGTACACACAAACACAAAACTATAAGACGGATTACCACTTGATCCTTGATAAGGAAGCTATATCTGCCCAGAAGTTGTGTGTGTGTATATAAAAGACTGATGGTGTGTACGACAAGACTTGGACATCCACTGTATGCCGAGTCTTATCTAGGCTGGCAAACACACATTTCACTTTACTTCACCGTGGAATATGTCAGAACTAGAATGATGTAGGTTGAAGGTTATGTTATGTCAACTAATGGTTTTTGGATCACCTTGAGAAATCTGTGAACAGAGGAAGAGGGTAACCCACATATTACATACATATCCCAGGCATGGGCCTGCCCTGGGCAAAAGGGATATTTTTTTTTTAGCACACCCTCAAAATGACCAATTATGAGGCTGTGGCTCTCATAGAATTTACCCATTGTTACCTGCCTTACTTTCCATCTTCACCCTACCTTTATTCATCTCCTTCATTCATCTACACCTGCCTCCCATTCTTTAGTTTCCAGTGACAAATGTCTCTTCTCTTCTTTGTTTTTGTTTTTTTGTTACACTGGCTTATTTGTTGTCACTGCATATTCTTGTTTCCTTTATGGAATCTCCATTTCCTGTTTCTGTCATCTGCTCTTTCATTGTAAATATTCTGCATCTCTAATTTTCTCTCTGTGTGCCCTCTTTGTAAAATGTAGTGATTTTGTGGTTCCATTTTTCAATGTGACTTTGTTTTTTAGAATTATTTCTTGGTGTTTAATTTTCATACTGGAATTTGCTGTATGATGTGCGTAAACCCTGTCCAAGGCCCATGTGTGTATTCCCTGAACGCTGTGTTGTGCAACAGTGGTGGTTCAGTATAAAAGTTTAATAAGCCCTTGGTGCAATGAGAGAAGATGAGCTCTGGATAATAACCTAACCTTTCCAATGGCTCCCCCACTCTCTGCTGCCCGTTTAACACACATACATGCACATACACTCTCCTCCCTAACTAAATATGCATGTTTGTGTTGTCCCAGTTCCCAATATAGACTCTTCTTTGAGGACTGATATACAGACATGGGCAAATTCTTGTATCATAGATTTAAAACAACAAAAAACAGAGGATAGATAGCTTTGGTGTTTTATTGATGTGTACTTGTGGTGGACATTTTGAGTTAGGCAACAAGGTAAAAATCAGTGTTAAGAGGCTGATATACATCTAAAATATGTTACTATTCTACTTTATTGAGTAAAATTGGTAACATGGTCAAAGAAGAAAAAGGCCTTCTCTTAGAATTTGCTGTTCAGCAGAGAAGCAAGGGCAGAAATAAATAAATGTCCTTAACTAAAGCTAGTCTTCTGTCCTGTGGGAATACAGCAGATGGATGTATAGATATGTTTTTGTCTTTAAAAATGGTTTGGAAAGAAATGGTCTGGTATTCAAGTAATTGAAATTTTGGTAATTTGTTTTTCTTTTGTTATTCTTTATCATGTTGGTATTGCAGCGAGTTCCTTTCTCTCTGTTTGTGTGTTTAGATTAATTTAATTCAGGTTTATTTATATAGCAGTATTCCCTGTTAATCTCTACAAAATAAAGCATTCAGGATAACAGTGTTTAATTTTGTTTATTTGCCATTTAGATTTTGACTGCTTCAATTTAACAACCTTCGTGTCATGTTACAGATTATGAGAAACCTACCTGCTGCTTAGTGTAAACACAACTGACTGTTCAGAGAGCGGTTGATAATTTTCGAACCCCTTCATCAGCTTGAGCAATTTCCAAATACAAAGCTGACCTTGGCTGGTTAACAGCCTTCTTCTCTACTCTCACCATCTTTCTCCCACTTGCATCTCTAGCTTTTATGTCTCAGCTTTATTCCAGATGTCTTGTGTTTCCTGCCTCTTTTTGCCTCTTTATCTCCTTCTCGCTGCGATGCTTTGATGCTTTTTCACTCTTTGCACATGTTCACAGTGCAGTGTCCCTGTGCACTTCCTTTTTTCTCCCCGTTCTTCTCTCCTATTGTCTTGCATGCAGATATACACTCAAACACACTCACACGTTCTCTCCATCTTTACCAATTGAAGAAGTGCTCTTGTTCCCAGGCAGACTGGGTGGTCTTGTGGTGGAGCGATGAGGAAGGAGGGAGGGAGAGATTGAAGAGGTTCATATGGTCAAACTTCAGAAGAGAAATAATAGCTGATGTCCAAAATGTGTTTTTGCTGTGCCCTATCTTCCTGTGTTTGCATGTGTTTTTATTCATCATATTTTACTTCCTGTACAGACCATGTGATCAGTCTTTGATGAATTTGCCGGCATCCTTCTCTGGAAGGAGTCCCATGTGCCGGACATATATTTATAGTACAGTGTGCACATGTGTTTTTCTGGAAATGTTTGGTATATCTGATAAGGAATCTGGTTCATATTTCCTTGTTTGACTGTGGACCTTTTGGGGGGGATTGAGGCAGATGAGAGAAAGTCAAGCTAAGATTGATAGGGGAAGAGGTTTGTAAAGAGGTATAGGGAAGGAATAATGAGAGGGAAAGGGAAAGAGAAAAAGGAGGGTTGGAAAGGAGGATTGCAAGAGAAGGAGAGGCAGAGGAATGTGTGAAAAGACCGAGGCAGACATGTCAGAGAACAAATTGAAAATGCCAATTTCACTTTAGCCCCCACCAGCTCACGCGCTTACAGCCCAGCCCCGGCCTCTTATTCCATGTGTAAATGAATGGTGTCCACAGAATAACACACAATCACCTCTCTCTATCCATCTTGCCCTCGCTATTTCCCTTTCACCCTTTCTGCTGCATTACCTGCTCTATACCCCCTCTCCCTACCCTCTTTGTCATCCTTCCTTTTCACCATCTTTTTGTTGTTTTCACTCCACTTCTGAGCTTTTGATCACAAATTCCAAGTATTTTCACATCTTCTATCGGTTTTTTCTTTTCTGTTTGCCCATCCACTTTGCTTTTCACACCCTACCTTATTATTTTGTACTGTGCCAAGGCTAATGTTTTGTCTTAAAAATCTAGTTGTAATGCAATAGCACTGTCTAAATTCAGAACTTACTATATCTACAGTGAGACTGTAAAAGTTGTCTCTTTTCTTTTTCTTTTTCTTCAGTGTTCTGTAGGCCAGCTTCCAGGTAGAGTTGCTCAAGTAAAAGTTTCAGTAGTTCACAGCTGCTAAATAAATTAGAGTGAGCCTGAAAACACATTTTGAAAGAATTTGCCTTTAAAATCAGCTCTAAGAGCAAAGTGGTATTTTTTCTGAGATGCATGGAGACGTCTTTCTTTATTCGGATATCAGCGTCTCAGCCTTCAGGGCCCGCTAAATGTAAATCATCCAATCACAAAAAAAGTGATGAAAGAATTAATCAGCCATTCACACATTGTGACATTGCTGTGTCCTCTCATTTTCTTATCTTCTCAGTGCACATTTTTTAGTCCTTTCCTCCCTCAAATATATTCAAATTCACTGTTATTACAGATGTCAGGATAAATCTCACAGTATCACACTGGAGTGGGTGATATCACATAGTGGCAAAGTTGTAGCTAGATTCAATCTTTGAGGGCTCATAGCCCCGAGCTTGGGGCTTTCACATTGGATTTTATCACCACTCTACTAGAAGAGAAAAGTCCTGCTATCTCTCACCCAGGGGCTACTGGAGATACTGACCATACCAGAGGTAGTGAGAGGGGCTGGGCACCATTAGGTCATTATCTGAAGTCTCACCAGCCGTCACCTCAACATTGCTGCTGACAACACACCCATCTTGTCATATAGTGTCTGCTTTATGTCGTGTGAAATACAGCTAACAAAAGAGACGTTAATAATGTAAAACCTGTCTCGGTGAAGTCTGTGAAGTTCTTGATGAAGATGTTGTATTTACCTCACATCAGCAGGGGTTATTGGGGAGGCGGTGTAATTTCTAAAGCGGCATTTTATTTGCTGGTGATAATTGTCATTGATAATTTATATGTTGGGAGTTTGGGCAGGGACTCATAGGAGCTCTTTTCTCCGTTACCCGTTCAGTTAACACGCCGCCATCACATCACCGCTTTTGAAGCTTGTTGTCTCATTTAAAGCAATTCCGTAAAACTGATTATGCCAATGATGAGTCAATTACATTTCAACTCTTATTAGTTCAGGATGCAAAAATGAAATTAGATGAGAATATTATTGTCAGAGATATATTATGCATTTCATTCATCACTGGAATGGAATGAGTCATACAGTGATGGGGATTCCAATCTCTTAATCAACTCTGCGCTCTGCCAGGCAGCGGCGGATGTGCCATGTGTAAAAATCACAATATAGCCTGTCTCTCATCATTCATTTTTATGGCCCTTCAACTCTGTGAGCACCGCAGGGTATGACATTACTACCAACCACTAGCTTAACTGAGTTTGCTCTTGGTATTAGCTGTGTTTTTTTTTTTGTTTTTTTTTCCCTCGCTCTTATGAATTTATTGAAAGAATTTTATTGAAAGATGAAATGTTTTCTGATGATGATGCTGATGTAAGAAAAATGTTGAATGGATGAGTATGAATTGTAATCTTGTTCTCTTTGTTTTATATTTCAGTATAATTATGAGGGCAATGACATCAGCGACCTGCCTGTCGACCTGTCTGTAGTTTGGAATGGAAACTTTGTCATTGACAACCCCTATAACATTAAAGGTGAGTAATATTAAAGGTTACTTATGGTAGGAACTGAATGTGGTTGAATGCGTTAGATTTGTCTTAGAAACCGGGAAGGAATTCAGTGTCCTGCAGTGACGTACAACTTTTTTTTTTTTTTTTTTAACCTTAACAATTATATTTATGACTCCAATCAGTATGTATTATGTAATAATCACCCAATCATCTTTTCTGCTTCATGAATGGCACATTACCCCCAAATACTACAGTCAAAAAGCAGCCATTGCTGGCCTATTGAGAGATTGAGTGGCTTCCTCCCACAGTCCAAAGACATGTATGTTAGGTTAATTGGTGGTTCTAAATTGGCCATAGCTGTGAATGCACTGGGCCCTGCAACAGACTCGTAACCTGTCCACAGCTACCTCTTGCCCTATGACAGCTGGGATAGGCTCCACCCCCACCACAACCCAGATGGATGGATTAGTGGGTGGGTGTTTTTAGTTGGTTAGCTGTTTTAAATTACCATAGATACTGTTACATTTTGACACAATCTGTCACAGTTACATATTTGAGAACCGTATCTAGATGACTGTGTGTGTATTTGTGTGTAGAAGAGGCAAAACAGTCACATTATTAAACTGTTTGTGCTAACAAAAGAGAAAAAGCACAGTTAAACACTGCACCCAAGGAATGTGCTCAAATCTTCTGTCAATGCCAGAGAGTTCACATATTCTAGTTTTGGTCATTTGTATTCACTAATGCATATATTGAATAATAATTATGTCCGTCAAGGCTCAGGTTCCACCCCACGAGACTCTTTTGTCATGGCTAATGGGTAGCAACTAGTGTCAAAGGGATCAATGTAATTGATATTTTCTCTCTCTAAATGTTTTAAATTTCAGTATATTGAGCCATGTTTGGGATGTACAGTGTGTGCATGTTGTAGAGCAATGAGGCTAATTTCTGCTTTGTTTGCAAATTGTCCAATTTGAACAAAGCAGAAATTGGCAAGCGTCATGAGTCGAGGTGCAAAAGACCGCTACACTGTTAGTGTCTTAGGTTTACACCAACTAATATTCAAAAACACATAACCCTTTGCATTTTAAACAGATTTTTACCATGTTTTGTATGCATATTGTTGCATTTTCCTGTTTTGTTAATCTCTTTAGTGTTTTAGGCATCCGTGTGTATCTTGACTTGTGTTATTTTAATGTGATAGTGCATAGAAGACATATATATTTCTTTAAACTGTATTAGAGTGCATTATATTTGATTTAATGTGAAACCACACCTCATCCAGGAACCTTGGGGGGTAATAATTAAACTCATATACATTCTCAGTGCACCACTGTGGGAGAAGACAATGAGATCATGTCTGTTGGATATAATTACTGGTAAAAGTCTTTATAATGCTGTCTTCGTAATTATTGTGGGTTGTAAAGCACAGTGGGGGATGTAACATTATTCCCCTGCTGTGAGGTAAAGTAACATCATCGCCAGTTCGATATAGTCTGTGGATGACAAGCACATTGAGTTTTGTACAACAGAGGGAGTAGCATAGTCTGCTCCTGGTTGTTACTCATTAATGTTTAAGGACACAACAAGTAATGGGTATTTTGGATGTAGTATTTAATGCCAGAATTTGCCGTTATATCTTACATGTTTGTGAGTTAGTGATTATTGCCATTTGTCAGTAAGGAAACACCACATCACTCTGTGCTGTTTATTGATCGCTCTTTGTAGTCTAATTGAGCCAAGCAAGCTGTTGTAGTCTTAAATGTCAGATATCTCTCAGTATGAGTGGTGTAACTGGTCTACATGTGTTTGTACCATGTAAACAAAGGCGTGTCTGTAGTATTGTAGTCTTTACTTCATCACTTTGTGCATTGTGTGTTAACTCAAATGTAACACATCAGGCAGTGACCTACAGCCTAAATATGACTCTCGTCTTCTTCTCCCTTCACTGCCAGCCACCTCTGTATTTCTCAGTGATGATAATCATCTAGTAGAGTGCAAGTGATGCTCACTCATCTTAAATACTGATAGGTTAATGTAATTAAAGGCGAGTCGTTTAGCAGCCAGTAATTGGCATAGGGTTTCTTTAAAGCTGCTCCATGACCAATGGGATTTGGGGAAGGAATAGCAGAGAAAGAGAGAGGAAAGATTTACTCTTCTGTTCCTCGTGCCTTTGGGAAATCGGGCCTTAACTCAACTTTGGCTCAGTGACACTGAAGAAGTTTTGAAATTTTATGATAAAGCTGAGGAAGTGAAAATAAAGCAATTTAATTTCATTCAAAAGAAAACTGTCAGGTTTCTTATCTGCTTATTTCAGTCTGAAAATAAGATAGTCTTTGACTGGGGGGAGTTACAATCCAGCTGATAAGCAGCAACATAAGAGACTGGTGCAAGGATTTATAAAAACAAGGAGAATATGCAAACTCCACAGAGAGGTCCCAGCTGGGAAGTAGGTCTAAACCTTCTTTGATGTCTTTGAGGCCACAGTGCTAACCGCTAGCACACCCTGTCATTTCTAACATATTATATTGACTGGATGTTTTATTCACTTGGTAGCCTCAGTTCAACAGTAATAATTTCATGATGCTTCATTTCTCCTTCCTTCTCTTCAGCTCACCTGTATAAGTGCTACGCACTGAGGGATAGCTGTGGGATGTGTTTGAAGGCAAACCCCAGGTTTGAGTGCGGCTGGTGCGTTGGGGAAAAGAAGTGCTCCCTGAGACAGGAGTGTACTCCCCCAGAGAGCACTTGGATGCATGCCACAACAGGAAACAGCCGCTGTGCTCACCCCAAGATCACCAAGGTAAGACTTGATAATAATGACACATGCTTACACATATTGTATTGCAGTTAAGCATGATTCCAAGATAACAGATGGTACACGTCTTGTTGTGCAAATGTACCCACACATGCACACAGACCCCTATATCCAGACATATAACTACATGCAGAGTGGACTGTGCACAACAGAAATATTCTCTTTGACACAACAAAATTGAAGAGAAAAATAAAGCAGAAATAGTTTATTTTTTTGTAATTTCTCAGCTCATTATATCACAACATTTCAAAAACCCTTTTGAATGAAAGCTGTTTGAGCAAAGAATGTGAATCATAAAGTGTCCACATTCATCATTAGCCCACTTTAAAAACAACATTGCATGGAACAGCTAAATTCAAGGTAAAAAGAATAGGCTTCTCTAAGCACTGCTAAAGCACACACTCACGCTGCTGATTGGTTGTTCATGACCTAGCAACTCACTGCAAACAACTCAGGGGTCTAAGAAGAGAGGCTTCACATTACAGTATGTTACTTGTAAGCAGGCTATGATTGACTCTTATGTGTTTTTTCTACAAGAATCCAAGCCAGATCATTAGTAAAAACAAATTTTTCAAAAGAGGAGCTTTGAAAAGTCTTCCTGCTCTGTGTCATTGTTTGGCCCCGGAGAGTGAAGGGGACATCCTAGGAGGGCAGACAGCAGAGAGGATAGACAACTTAGAAGCCAACACTAAGACTGCAACAGCAACACAGATGGGCTGGCAAGGAGGAGGCAGTTCACACACTCCAAGACTGAACACACTGACGAGATCAGAGACGACGGCTTCACACAGAAGCGCACACAGACACACACATGCACCTAAATGAAGAGTTAGGGAGGGTGGTTGTCTGGAGAGAGACAAAGAAGCCGAGGATGTGGTAGTGCGTTAATTGTGTCCCGCCACGGGTGCTGAATATGTGCGTGCACATGTGCATGTGTTCATCTGACAGGCTGGCAGAGCCGAGGCGTCTAAACACCATAGCGTAACCATCTGTTGCCACTAGTAACCGTGGCGGTGGTCCTCGTCTGAGTGCGACCTGGGTCACAGTTCCTACAGCTCACCACTGGGACTAGTGCACACACAGTGCGGTTTGAAAGCAATGCACTGCTGTGTGAGACGCGTCCTGACATTCAGCCCTCTCGTCAGTCTGTCTTCTTCCATTTTTACTGTGTCTCCAACAGTGATTCAAACTTTCAGCCAAGCATTTCTTCCTTTAAATGTATCTCAAATAAGCTGAAGAATCATCTAAATTCTTCATCTTAAATGAGTGTGAAATATATGTTTAATATCCATGCTCATTTCATTGATGTTGACTTGTGTGACTGAAGCCCTCAGTCCATTTCCTGTGTGACACGGGCTCGTCTCTTTGAATGTGTAATGAAGATACTGGTTAATTGGAGCTCTGGCACATAGATAAAACCATTTGCTAATGCTCCCTCTCTCTTCGTGCTCGTTTCAGTTATCTCTTTGAAACAAGCATGCAGAGGCAACTGGGTTGTGTGTGCGTGCTTGCGGGAGAGAAACGGGAGGTGGTAGGGGGGTTGTGCTCACAAGCATGTGCCGTTGCATGCATATGTAGGGGTAAATCCTGCCCTTGGGCAAGATGTTGGTGGCAGTCAAAAAGCTGGCAAAGAGCTTCAAAAAGCAGCAGGAGAAGAGACGCACTGCAAGTTTGAGAATGCAGAAGAAGAGACAAAGAAGTGGAGAAGAAAGAGACACTGGGGGAAGCGTTATCACCAAGCTGCGCCGCTGGCCTCACCTCTCTTCTCCACCTTTGACATTTACAGTTTGACATTTAACGCCAAAAGAACATCTGCAGATGACGAAGAAAATCTCTCCTTTTTCATCCGCCATTTTATCTTCTCCCGCCCCCCGCCCCCCAAAGAGCATCACATTGGCCACACAAATTGAATATTATTCCACTTCTTACCAACCATTTGGTCAAATCCCCTTTTCCCTGTTTCATCTTTTTTTTCTTTTTGCCTGATTCAGCCTGCTTTGTTCATTTATGCAGCATGCTAACTGCTGTGTGGCCAATAGCTGGTGGATTAACCACTAATTTCATTTGGACCAAGGAATGTGTGTTCAGCTGGGGAGGAAACACCACTGGAGACACACATGTGTGCACAACATACACACAGTAAGAGCTGTCAGAGCAGCAAGTGTTTAACTTATTTAGTGTTATTTCTGAGTGGGCTATTGTCCAGTTGATATTTTTCAGTAGTGTGCGGTGTGGCCACTGTGCCACTAACAGCTTTGGCACCTAGTACTTCTCTCCAAATTCAGCAATTAATGTTTTAGGTACTAAATGATGATTTTAGACATTGTAAGAATTTGGCTGTTAAGCTGATGAAGTGCTATTTTTATTGTGCTGCGTTTTTGTGCACTGACATTGTGCACAAAGATTAATTAGTACTTCCTTCCAAGCAAGCAAGAAAATACTCCCTGCGTGTGTGTCTTTGAGCCTGCGCTAACACTCACACAAGCCAGCAAGACTCACAATGGTGCCCACACATTCTCAGAAGCCTCCAAATGAAAATAAAGTAAGCTACAACTATAGTCTGTATTATATTCTCAAAATGGCATTCAAAGCCACATGGATAGGGACACACACACATACTCTCTATGCCACTGTGTCCCAGTGTAGCACAGCAGTGTCCTGGTACTGGCCCTGGATGCTGCCTGGCCCTCCATTATCCATCATCTCCTGCCTGCCATCTCCTAGGGGACAGGAAGAGCATCACAGCTAGCCCTTAGAAACCAATTAAAACAACGCAGGCCATTCCAGTCTGTGTGTGTGGGAGGGTTGCATTTTTAGGGTTTTAGCACGTGGTAAGCTCCATGTGTTTATGTGTGAGTGTTTCTTGATGTTGTATATGTATTAAAGTGCATAAATGGATCTGATGGCCTATCATTTCTCCCTCATGTACTGCTTTAGTGGTTTTTGCCTTTGCCAGTTTTCTTTATGTCCCATCTCTTTTTTGTAGCTAGTCACATTTGTTTTTCTCATCCTTTATGGTTTTTTGGCAACACTTTTTTTAAATTTCCATCCCTTCCACCGACTATTTCCTCTATCTATTAACTATTCAGTATTTTTCATTTTCCTTTCCCTTATTTTGAATCTCATCCTTTGGTCTCATTGTTCCCTTACCTTCTATCTTCCTTACCCTCTTGCTTGCAACCTCCTTATTATCCATATAGAGATAGATATTGTTCTGTTTACGGGTGTTGATTGACCATGCTTCTGTGATTTGCTGATTGTATTTTGGGGCTAAAAAGTAAGCCCCCACTGTTACAAAAATAGGAGTATTTACCCACTGTTGGGTAAATACTTACCGTGCTCATTCATAAAGGGGAGGATTGTAACTGGATGTCAGCCACGATGATGTCCTAATTAAGCTCGTGTACTTGTTTAATGATCAGAGTTCAGCCAGAGGGATATAATTGGCCCCGATGTGATTCTGACTTCTGACACAGATTTGTTCCTGTTCTATAAGGCTACACATCTTCAGAGCTAATATTGTTTGACTCAGTCACATGGAAACATTTAACGTTTAAAGACTTATTTGATCCCTCTCTTCTTTCACGTCATTGCCTCTATCAGATTGCTTGTGAGTTTTTGTTTTTGAAAGCCTTTCATATCACAGATAAACTCTGGAAGCCTTACACCATGTTCATATCATCTCCCCCCGTGTCCCTTGCCCGTTTCCCCCTTCCCCCTCCTCCTCCTCTAATTTGCAGATGCTATCTGTGCGCTGCTTCTTAGCCATCCACAATAGGCCTGACATAAAGCCTCAAATACATCGGGACAAGTCAGCCACAAAGAGAAAAAAGCGAGTATGAATGAGTGTAGAGCGTTATGATGGTGAGAGGAGAATAGAGCGAGTGTTTAGGCTGGTGGCTTTTATCAAAAAGGGCGCTTTGTTTGTGTTGTTTGGTTGTGGATGGAACAACGTGCATGCGTGTATGCGTCTCACTCTGTGTCTTTGTGTGTCTATGTGCTTGATAAGCCAGTGCTTATAGAGAAAGAGAGGTTGATTACCATATCTAAAGATTGTGACTGAGCACTGCTGCATGCCAGTCATTCTTTTGTCTCCAGCTAAAATCTATACATTTGGGCACACTGTCAAAGACGGAGACAGAGACTGAAATAAAAGACACAAGTTCAAGATGGAGTGCCAGCTGATAAATAGCCATTAATTAATATGTGCAGCATTTCATTTCTGGCTTGCATGACACTGGGCTTTGTTCCCATTGTGTGTTTGTATTAGTGGTTTTCTAAACACCTGTGGCTTTTACTAACCTGCCACCTTTTCCATAGTGTTAGACTGGGTATCATTGTAGTGCCAGGTGGGGAAATATTTGAGTGGGTTGAGAGGTTAATCTAATTAATCTGTAAGACTGTAGATAAGCTTTAAAGAAGCTGAATATTGCAGAACATATTTTCATTGTTGGCATGGTGTCAGTAAGATTGATACTGTCATTATGTCTGAGTGGTAAAAATGAAGCTACGACTGCTGCTTAGCTTGGTACAAAGACTGAATACAAGATGTGGCAGCTGCAATGGCTCTACCTATTGCCATGTTATAATATTTCTGTTTTACACAAACAAGCCATAATATGTTAATTAGTGACTTTTGGTGCTGATAGCTGGATTTTGTAATGATTTAGATATCTGAGCTGGCTTTTTTCCCCACCACCTTTGTTCTTTATGCTGTGCTAAGCTAACTGGCTGCTGATAGTATTTCCTAAACTATTAAATTATTTCTTTTACAAACCTGAATATTTGAATACATTATCCCTGCTGTCACCTTTTCCAGCACTTGGTGTATTCCCATCCTTTTTTAAAAAATAGATTTGTGAAGTATGCGATACACACAATGTTTCTGCTCTTAAGAGCTGTATTTATTTGACAGTTCTGCACAGGTAACAGTCCGGTCCAGCTCTCTCTCCCGCTCGACTCTGCCGTCACTATATAGACAAAGAAAGAAGACCCTGTCATCACACAGTCGCCACCACCTGTGGCTCACCTGCCTCCCGGTCCCGCCCCCTTGAGCTCACTGCACTACTCCTCCCCTGCAGCTGTGCCAGGGACCACACCTCCGCCACAAGATTAAATTTGTAAATTTATTAAAGCAAAGGACTAGTCGCACCACTTTTAAAGATGGCAAAGGTTTTGACCACAATCACTTAATTTCACTAGAATCACTGTCATTAAAGGATTTCTTCATAGAGAAAAAGTAAATTTGCACAGCGTAAGGTTCAGCTTTAGCGAAGCTTGACAAATGAATCAAACTGTTAATGAATCTTCGTGACAGTGCTGACCTTTGAAGGAACAAAGAGTGATATGGAGGTCAAATTGAGTGAGTTGACATAGCGGCACACGGTTTTCAGTAATTTGTTGGATGGCACAAATATTAACCGTTTTAAGTCAGTGTTTCACCAGGCTTCCAGCGCCACTAAAGACTTACAAGTGGAGTGGCCCATATTTTAGTTGTTGGTGACCGTTGAACCGTCCAATCAAATAAAACATATGGGAGACTGGTCACTGTTTTACCCCTTTGTTTCAATGTTGACATGTTTGTCTGTGTCTTTGTAGAGCTTTGTGTGCCACACAGCAACTTTTTTCTACACCAAGCAAAAGATTTCTGTGTTAAAAAAAAAAGAAGCAGGATTCATAATCAATCTTTTTTTTTTTTTTTAATACATTTTTTTGTGTGTGGCAACTTACACCCCCACTCCATGACATCCAACCACTAATGTCTCCCCCAATAACCCCCCTCCCTGTTGCAACAAATGACCCCACTGCCCCGCCGTGTTCTAATCCAATTAGCTTTAGCCCTAATTATACTAGTAAAGACTGATTACCATTGTCTGCATTGGGGCTGAATGAATAGAGCCATGATTAGCGACTAGGCTAGCCTCGGGTAGCCATTAGCACCTCCGTACACCTGTCACAGACCTCTAGGGAAAAAAAAGCAGAAACCAGGGGTCACTATGTGTTCTAATTGTATTCAGCCTATAAATCTTCACAACATTAAAAGAGGGACGTAAGTGAGGGTTTGATGGGTAGGTCCAGGTTAAGTGTGCGAGTTGGCAAGTTGTGAATGTTTGACTGAATTGAGGTGGAGTTAATGGATTCAAGGTCATTTTTCATCGTGCTTAATGAGGTAGCAAGAATGTAATTCATGCAGAATGAAACATGACCATAATGACCTAAGTAAACTGCCATTCATGCTTAAACACAATATACGCCACATGTGTTGTTCTGCTTCACTTATGTCCTCCTTTCTTTGGTCTACCACCCAGCTGTATCCTGAGACTGGGCCCAGACAGGGAGGAACCATGCTGACCATCACTGGTGAGAACCTGGGTCTACAGTTCAAAGACATCCAGAATGGAGTCCGTATCGGCAAAGTGGCGTGCAACCCTCAGGAGGACGAATACATTAGCGCTGAGCAGTACGTTGGCATTGTCTCTTTCTTCACCCTGTTACACCCACTGATTTTAAACCTCACTCTTTCTAAAACTCATTGCTTTCTTTTTTGTCTTGTCCCCTATTGTTGTGACACTGAGTGCTAAGCACAACGCTGTGACTCTCTCAGACCTTTGTTTCATAAAACCTTCAAAGGTTAAATGCTGTTTTCCACTAACAGACAAAACCAATTCCTCACAAATAGCCTCAAGCTGTGCATGGTGCTGCTACTTTCTGTACATGTTCAGTCCGAGTAACTCTGACAGCAACTTGAATAAAACCTGTTCAACTCAACTAATGCTCAGGTCAGGTCAAGCAGCATTGAAATACCTCATATAACTCGCCTCATTAGGATTAATTTGACCCATTTTTAGATATAAGTGGATTTAATATTATCAAAAGTGTGCAATATACATCTACTGAAAGCTATTCTTCATGAAAGGTTGTCATGTGAACACTCTAAGTTATGTTTACTGTTTTCTGGGAAATGGTGAAGTACAGCAGATTGCACAGATGTAATTTAACTCCCATTTAATAGCTGCAGTTGTATATCCTGAGTAGAACTCAGAGTAATGTATAACAGTCATGTTCAGTTTATGACTGAGCTCTTTGTTTTAACTGTTAACAGGGTGCCTCTTTGAAAAAATGTTCTTTATTTCACGTGTAAACGATATCATGTGAATCATTAATTAAATTACATTCAGAATAAGAAGAAATCTGGGGCACTGGCACACTGGCAGTGCCCCATTATAGCTCCTCCAAATACTGGGGCAATGAAATTACAAGATGAGTCCCACTTTCTCTTTTATGTTGTATTCATCTAAGCAGACAAGATACATTTTCTGATGAGGAAAGAATTGGTGAAGCTCGTCACAGTTGGAGGCGTCCTCAATATTCTATTTCCAACCATGTTGCTGTCATTGTACACAAATGCCCCATTTGCTGAGTTTTGCAGCACAGTCCCAGCAGACTTGGTTTTCTTTCTGCCACCCTCGCTAAGAAGAAACCAGAAGAAATGTGACTTTGATGGTTTGACAGTCAGGAAAACAGAATGCTGTTCCACACTCACTAGTGGGTTTAGAGTAGCGTAGTGACATGTCAGTCTTGATTTATAATTTATAAACTCGTGTGTTGTTTTGTTCAGACAGAGCGGAGCAGTTTTACATTCACTTCTATCACGAGGCCGTGCTGTAGCCTAACTTTTTTTTTCCCAAACATGTTCATTTTCTCCAAGTGATCACATCCAAACGTCAAGATGGTGACGTTTAACCCGGCCAGCTCAATAATGCTGCTTTTGGCCTGTTGCCATAGCACCCGCAGGAAGAGGAGGGCGCGGTTAGCAGTTAGGCTGTCATGCTAATTAAAAGTGATGTTAGCCATACGGTGCCATTAGTGTCCCGTTTGCACTCGTCATTCCTGTGACCCCATCAGAGCCATAGCACAGAAAACAAGACGGGGTCACAGCATAGACGGCACAGGTCAAAGGTCAGCTGCGAAAGACAAGAGGATGTGCAATGACTGTTGGGCAAAACGTAGACACCTTGTTCTCACTCTGGCTTTCTGCTTCTGCCACCTCTTCTACATCAGTTTCTATGATTGGAAAGAATTGGATTGCAAGGAAGTGTGGCCTTTTCCCACCTAAGTCATCAAATATTCACTACATGGTTTAACTTCACTTTGAGAAAAGTAAATCATTGCCAGCAGTGAAGAAAAACAGAACCTAAGTTCCCTCTTTTTATTGCCTTATTAGTAGTTACTATGTGACAATTTGACATATGTTTAATTTTTTAACATTCTACATTCCACCAAAGTTATTTGATTGAGTGAGGCATAATTTATGTTGTTGTCATCTTAGCTAATGTACTTTCTAACCACGTAATACCAGCTCAGTGTAGCCACCTGTCATCTGGGCAATAATGATGCAAGCGGAGCTGCATTCCTAACTGAGATTTGTCCAGCATTTTAATCATGGCCTCTGTCATAGCAGGAGGACAGCGAATAAATGAAAGGGAAAGTAAAAACAATGGAAACGCACAGCATCGCAATGTGAAATTCATTGTTGCGGCCGCGATGCAGTTGCCATGGCCACCTGCAGGGTGGATGGAAGCAGGAGACTTAATAACTCATCGCAGGGAGGGGAAGCTGAGGTGATGTGTAGGATATGAGCTTGTTCAATTAATCAAGCTCTTTCTTACTTCTTTCTTTCTCCTTTCTTCTCTGACTCCCTCCTTCCTTTGCGCTCTCGTGCTTTCTCTCTGTCTCATTCGTGCGCTCTAGCTAATTAACATTCAACTATGTCTCCAGTGGGTGAAACATGAAATGAGTGTGTGTGTGTGTGTGTTCTCCCTGTGGGCTACACCACCATTCCTCTCCATGTTCAATCATTTCTCCTGTGGATTTTCATTTGGCTAGCCAGCGCCCAAGGCCAAGTGCGCAGCTTATGGTTCTACAATACACGCTAATGCATGAACACACACAGAAAAGCCTTTAGTTTCGTAGCAGTTCACATTATCTCTAATAGAACATTTAGTCTGTTTTTGTTATTTTTTATGAATAAGATGGAAACTAATGAAACACTTCACTCATAAATATCTGAATGCTTTTCTGATTAGACAGAGCAGAAAAGAAGTATTCCTCATTTTTTTCTGTCCCTTTTTTTTGACCAAGTTGTCACACTATTAAGCAAACACTGAAACTGAAAACATTCACTCGTTTACATAGTGATAAACTTTTTTTCCTCTTGTTTTCAGGATTGTGTGTCGGCTAAATGATGCAACAGGTTACAGAGTGCAGGAGGCTCAGGTGGAAGTGTGTGTCAGAGACTGTAGTCACCCCGACTACAAAACAGTCTCAAGCAAGGCCTTCACTTTTGTGGTAAATGTTGTTGATGTATATTACAACTGTGTTTTTGGATGATTGTAACACATGTATTTGGCAGCCACAGTCCAGTCGATAAGTGACGCTTAACTTGCTCGGCCTCTGTCTGTGTCCCTCTTTAGTCCCCATATTTTTCACGAGTCCATCCTTCCACCGGGCCGCTATCTGGAGGAACAAGGATCACTATTGATGGCAGTCATCTCAACGCGGGCAGCGCTGTGTCTGTGAAGATTGGACTTCACCCCTGCCGTTTCGAGAGGTGAGTTAATCCAGAGTGCTTGGAGTATCTACAGTATATTCTTTTAGTTCAAGTGTTTCAACCTGAAGATTTTTTGGGGGGGCAGTTTACAACAAAGTCACAGAACTCTTGTTTATGTAAGGTTTTTATAGAGGCTGATTTTTCTAAGAAAATGACAGTTTAAATTTGTGTTGTGCTGCTGTGGAGGCAGGGGACCATGTTGATTAAAGCTCTCCAAACAGTGAAGAGGAACCATTTGGCCTTACCGTTTCAAGATGTTGTAACAAATGTTTGCAGATTTACTACTGATTTACTGGGTTAAAGTGTAGCTGTTTTATTTCTGCTCTTTAGACAAATAATAGCCATGTAATGCAGAATATTTTGCCTACATCTGCTACTGTTTTTTGCCAACTTTTCCCACCGTTTGCTGCGTTTAGTAATTGTAGTTATTCCCTGTTTTTAATGTATGACATTCTTCCCTGGTCAGTGCCTTCGATTTGTGCAGGACTAGCAAAAGCAGCGAGTAACAGGATGACCTGCAGTGCTGTAATTCCCAGCAGGATGACAGTGTAGCCTTTCCCAGTGAAGCCGATATCGTTGTTCACTTCTGCTGTGGATGGCTTAAGTGCATGGCCCACATTTTCTCAAAGATATGACTATAATTTAAAAGGAATGATATGGTGTTGCTGGTAATTGGTAACTTACATTTTGCTGCTTTGAAACGATGTTTGAAATATGTAATTTTTCTCCCACCTTTTTAGTTTTTGGAATGATCTTTCTCTGCTATCTTCACTTGTCACTCAGTCTGCAAGAGGTTGTGTTTGGATTTCAAGGAGAGGAGACATTGATCCAATTTGATATGACTCTAATTCCCCTAGCCAAGAACTCCATTGTTTCTTTGAGTCTCTTGCTGGCAGACTCACAAAAAACTGGGCTCTGAACTAAATCCAATCATGTATGGTGTCTGGCAGATGGCACAAGAAAACATCACAGAAAAGATTGTTAGTTCCCTAAAACAATCGCATATATACTGAAAAGGTTTATCTGATGGAAGCTTCCTTATGGAGGTTATGTTTGTCAGATAGGAAGTGGTATAGGAATACTCCTTGTTTCCACTTTTCTTGTTTCTTTGCTTTAGAGTGGTGTTTTTTTATTGTAGTGGTTCCGTTCTCTTAGGCAACAAGTGACAGGTTAAACTAATAAGCTTGGACCCATCAAGTTCTTTTTATATCATATCAAAAGCAAAAGTAGAGGCCAATTTAAAGCTCTGTAGCACATCCCGAGAAAGGTGAACATAATAGTCTTGGCCTTTCATTCACTGAGCAGCAATAACCTTTATGGCCAAAGTAATGAACTGGTTGAGTCTATCTCTTTAATGTGTCTTTGTATTCAGTGGGGCCTCTGCTTTAATCAAAACCTATTTACCCCGAGTCACTCATCCTCTTATCTCCCTGTGCAACCCCTTTTCTTTCCTTTTTCCTTTCTGTGTCCCCTTCTGGCTTCTTTTGTGTGGCCGCAACCTTGTCAAAAATACGTACGCGGCACCACTGGCACTCTTGACAGTGACAGCGTTGTGAAAACTGTTTCCATGGAAACACAGCACTAGTGGAATGTGAAAAACCTTTTTTTTTTCTTTTTTCTTTTTTCCATTCGTCCTTCAGTTTTTCCCGTCTGTCTTCATCCCCTCTTCAGCAGCATTTCCCTCTGAGGACCCTGTAAAAGGAAATAAAATAAAATTTCCTCCTGGGACAAAGACTCCCAATATGTCCGTTCTTGTTCAGCTGCCAAACCCCACCCGAAATCCCAGTAAAGACGCAAAAATGGATTTTTGTTCTTTCATCTTCTCCATCTTCTGTTTTATGTGGATTTTATTTCCACAGCGGATAGTGGGGGAGGATCTGTGTACAGATCAGCTTGCTCTTCTCATGTTCAAAATTTCATACTGTCCCACCTGCCTCCGTGTCTGCACCACTCATACGCGCAACCTTTTGCACATTCTTTGAGTGCTTTGTAGGGCGTTGGCAGACGTCGACTGACACAAAAAGCATACTTACACCCCGAGTAAGTGTTAATCTTCTGCCTGTGAACAGCATTTATATGGAAATTCACAAACCCTCTACACAGTACACTTGATCAACACACTGTGCACGTACACAGGTATGCCCACATAGGTTGCCATCCCCACCGCTTCTCTTCCAGCAGTGTCTTCCCTCGATGGGGAGGGGAAAGTGGAATGAGCCAGTGGAGTGGAGCACAAAGTTTCTGGCAGCAGCGCAAAGTTTCACAGCAGGTCACAGCTGGCTGGCTGTCTGCAAGGGAGGGAGTTACATCACACAGAGAGACAACCAGCCTGATCTGCCACTTCAGATCTGTTAGCCAGAGAAAGAAAAGGAGGGAAGGAGAGACGGACAGAGAGAGGGAGAGTGTGAGGGCTTTGAAGTACAACAGTGTATGATTCAGGCTGACGAAACCAGGGCTGGACAGACTGAAAGATGTTGGCCTTGTGGATGTATGACAGTCACCGCCGTGTCTGTGTTACAAGTAATTAAAAGGATGAACAAGAGTTTCCTTCCTGTGTAATTGTGTTTTTCTGTTTGGGGTGCCTAAAAACTCATTGTTTCCAGGAACTATTAGTATTAATCTTTAACTCAATCACTATGAGACACACCTTAGCCTGTGACTTCCTTTTCTCTTGTCTTCTCTTATATCTCCCTCACTTTCAGGCGGAGCGCCAAGGAGATAGTATGTGTAACCCCAGCAGGCCAGGCCACGGGCCAGACACCTGTCATGGTGGACATAAATGCTGCTGAGCTGAGAAACCCAGAGGTCAAGTTCAGCTACACAGAAGATCCTACTATCCTGAAGATCGAGCCTGACTGGAGTATCGCCAGGTAAGGAACCAATCAGAGCTTTTCCCTGTGCTGCTTCCAGGACAACATAGTTGAACATTTTGGATTCATGTTTGTCTTTTTGTTTTTGTTTTTCTGTGTTGTATAGAAGAGCAAAGACAATGCAGTCTTATATTTGAGTTATCAATTAATTCTCATTGTTTACATAGTGTCTTCCAACCCTGAAGGTGATAAACACTGAATATTTTAGAGCACTTGTTAGAAAATGGAGGTGTATTGTCATGAGTTACTGTATTTTTAATGTTTTGCTCACTCGTTCATATGGCGAACTATCAAACATTCACTGTATAATGCATCAGCATATCATGTGATGATTTCCTTATCTATAATTTATATCAATACAGTGTTTTATCTGCAATTCTGCTTGATGAACCTAGAGCTACAGAACAAAACAAATACAAACGCATGAATACATTATTAATCACCGGTGATGACTAGAGCAAATTATTGGCTTTTTTTCAACTACTCTGAAATGTGAACTTTGTGGAGAGCGTATTCCCTCACCGTTGTCACACTTGTTTTACTTTTCTAAACATATTATTTATTCAGTTTATCTTTATGTTTCTAAAGCAAATCTTTGAGAGCAGGAACAGCAGTCAAGGAGACTCCTGATGCAGTGCTGCTAGTTGATGAGCTGCAGCAGAGATGTATCTGTAAATATTACTTGACTTACTGAAATGAGTCTACATAGCCACAGGAAGATTTCCTCTTCAAACACAAGCTGTGTTGTGGAGAGAGAGGGGGGGAAAAAGCGTCCACATGCTAATGGGCTTACTAGCATGACCTAGAAACTCCCGTACTTCTCAGCTGAGAAATGAAGCCAGCAAACACACCAAAACACACTCACACTGTTGACTCTCTCATTTACTTCAAACGTACTGTAGTGGTTCCAATTATTTTGTCACATGTGTAAGTTTTGGTAGGTGTTTTCCTGCTGCTTTAATTAAAATGGCTAAATAAAAGTTCATTTACAGCTCTGAAAACATGTTCAAAAGTAAATCCTGAATGAAAAACCAATAAACATTGCATCTCATAATCTAAACACAGTTGCTCCAAGATGCTCAGCAAGTTAAATAATGTTCACCTTTCGTTCAGATTTGTCAGTATTAAGTTGTTTTTCAAAAGTAACTGTACTTTGTGCAGACAGTTCACATAAAAAGCTTTTCAGGATAAGGCATAGTAAATTATCTTATATCTCAGATATTTATTTTGAAGTATCAGCTCTTACTCCACTTCTTACTTCTAAATCTTTCATCATGTGAAACAGGTGTGAGTGGAAAAGGAGTCTAATTTGGAGTGGAATGAATGAAAGGTTGAGGATAGGAGAAGGCACTGTCGTCAGCCTTGGGGCTAAATAACCTTAACAATCGGCTTGTGTTTGGTGTTTCAGTCAGTGCTCCCAGAGTAGCAGTCGCATGCTTCTCTGGGCCATTTGTGTTTTTCATTTTTTTATTTTTTTATTTATCAAGCTATGCTGTCGCTGTGTCCCCTTTGGTGACCCTCTTCCTGGAGCTCTTGCAAAGAGTGCTCATTCTCACAAATTTGACTACAGAGTTTTTTGTTCTCACTCTTTCAGGAGGAGTTTCTTGGATTAACCGCACACATACATGGCTTTGTAGCAGTTGCAGGACACTACAGGATGTTTACACAGAGTAGGACAGTGTACACAGTACATCATGTAGTTTGCACTATATCTATGGAAATGATGATCCTCATAGAAATAGTCTTACCGCAGACGGACTTTTTTGCGTTGCCTTATACCTCGACAACAGAATTTTCTGTTCTTCCATCAACACGTGAAACTAACTGTAAAACATAAAAATAACTTTGCCCACTTTTTACAGCAGACACTGTTCAGCCTCATTTAGTACCTTTAAGTCTCTGAAAAGCGGTAAACTTTCTCGCCTCAGGCAGTTTTCTCGTCCTCCTAGCTCCTCAAGCCCCATCACCCTCTGAGGGATAGTGTTACTTCAGGCCCCGAGACTGCCCTCACCTCCATACCTGCACTTGCTTCCTGTTCAACAGTTTCACTTAAACAGTGCTGTGTCACTTCTTTTTTTTGAGTCCTAGCCTTTTGCAAAATGTGTGAAATATGATTGAGTATATGATTTGTATTTTTATGCGTGTGTCTTTGTGTACACACAATAGCTGTGTGTTGCTTCTCTACTCCAGCTTTCTATGCTAGTTGTATGCTAACTTATTTAGCTCCTGTCAGAACACCTCACATCAGATAAAGTTCAGCATCGCAGGCCAGCAGAGGCTGACGAGAAGGCATTGTAGGGGAATAGGCCCCACACCCGTATTAGCTATGTCTCTACTATTCAGCGTCACATAGATCTGAATAGGTCACAGGTGTAAAGGTTACAGAAAATGTCAGATCACTGACACTGTTGCTTTGCCATGTATATCTCATACCGCTTTGCAGTTTCGGTACACTCTGATAACGTCCCCTGGGTCTCAGGCTGGTATTGGGAGGCCAGAAGCTTCAGGTTCTCATGTGTAATGCTACAAAGTTACTTGTTCTTTACTGCAGCCTGTGTAGCTGTTTAAACACACTTTGAACATCAGAGAAATCATTTCCTTAAAGTCAGCCTCCATGATTAAGTGAGTGAAAGACTACAGCAGGAGTGACTATGTGGCAAATGGCGAATCACCAACTGGAGGGCACTCTTTGCTCCCACAGAGAATGTATTATATTTTTATTGGTTGTTTGTTTTCTCCTTTTGTCTTGATTAACTTTATGTTCATCTTTCTTTTCTTTTTTTTTTTTAGTGGAGGAACCAAGTTGACCATTACTGGAACTAATCTGGCCACCATCAAGGAGCCGAAAATGAGAGCCAAGTACGGAGCTGCCAAGTCGGAAAATGTGAGTGCTTGCACACCTGTAAACACTTTATTTCACATTATAAATGCATTGATTGGACAAGTAAGGTGGACTAAAGCCCATATAGACTGCAGGTCTCTCATTCACACTGTCTTGATGCTGGCTCCCTCTCCTTATCCATGAAAAAAAGGTGATAACGCGCGCACACACACTCCTGGGACACAGACTCACACACCTGACCCATCGGTCAACCAGCCAAGGGCCCATTTTCTGTTTGTTTTTGATGTTGAATTTCCTTTTAGCAGTTTAACCTTTGAAATGTCAACCAGCAATAAAGTAGCTCTGGCAAATCCCCCTCTCTTCACCTAGCACCATGGGGCTTAGCTAACCTTTTTCCCACTCCCACTCTTAGCTAAAAGTAAAAATATCCATTGTTGTTCCCTTGTCTCACCTCTCTGCAACCATTTTTTATTTTTCTTGGTTAATGCATCTATTGATCTATAAAAACAGTTGTGCTTTATGTCTTGCCTCCAGCTTCAGTATGCGTCATATGGCACATAATGCATGGCTATGACATGCTGCGTTATCAGCAAAGGTCTCTCTTGCTGTATTGTGTTATCAGCTCCAGGTTGACCTCTCCAGATTCTCTGCCATTACAGTCTAATTTGTTCTACGGTGACTGATTTAAGTGTCGTGCCCCGCGGCAAATTTCCAGATGATATCAACACTGATTACAACACTGATGTTATTAAACCAGCCTCTTCCTCATTATGTTATTACTGAGACACTTAATCACTCACACCATATACCTGTGTTTTAGCTCTTATAAATATTATTGATTACGCTTGAATTAACATATGTTTTATTCAAAGATTAAAACAATTACCTGTTTTAATTTCATTCCAAAATGGCATTTTAAACAAAGTAGAAAGGTTGTTAAATAGGAAATAAATCACCCTCTCAATCTGAACTTCTTCTCATTTTCTTTGGTCTTTTCTCCTTTTACTTTTTTCCTCCTGCATTCCTAATTTATTCATCACCTGTCCCCACTCTATGTTCTCTTACCAGAATTGTACGGTCCTCAACAACACCGTAATGGTGTGTCTGGCGCCCTCTGTGGCTGGATCTGACAAGGGCTTCTCGGATGTGGGCAGCAGTCCTGATGAGATTGGCTTTGTCATGGATGACGTGCGCTCTTTGCTGGTGGTAAACGAGACTTTTAGCTACCACCCGGACCCTGTGTTTGAACCTCTGAGCCCCACCGGCATGCTGGAGCTGAAGCCCAGCTCACCACTCATACTCAAGGTAAATTGCCTCGTGCTCTTAGCATTGATCTGTTTTGGCCTTGTTCAGCCTGACTTTACTTTACATCCATCACATTCTTTGTCTTTTTATTCTTGACTTTGCTCTTGACTTTTTTTTTTCTTTTTTCCACTAAACCCTTTGTCTTCTTTATGCCTCTTTTTGTTCTTGAGTCATTCTAATAATGTTTTCTATCTTGTTTTAGCCTCATCGGTCTCTTCTTGCATCACTTTCTTTGTGCCTGTGTCTCCTCTTTCACATAGTTTACCTGGAATGGGTGGAGAAATATGTTATGAATTGAGTTTGTAATTATTTAGTATTAAAGCTTTTTACGAAAGGTTACCCTTTAAAGGTGAGGGATTAATGTGCCCATATCCCAGGACTCGAGGATAAAAGGTTAGTTGAGTGCTGGCATTCACTTGACATACAAGAAAACAGTAACGGCAGATACATGTAGCAGTGTGCTAGTAATATCGAGTATTGTCAACAGTGTTAACAAATCAATCTCTCAAATAGATATTGAAAAAATATAACCAGATGCCTCCCAGTCAGCTTCCAGTGCAGCTGATAAGACACTGATGTGCATTTGAGGTGATTTGCTCCAGACATTTCTGTATAGGCTCTTCCCTTTCGCCTTTTTCTCGCGTTTCTTTCAACACGTCGTTCTTTTACATGTGTCAGCTTCGAGAGATGTGATTTCTCCACCTGCTGTCTCCATTGGGTTTTAGAGACATTTTTTAAAAAAAAAGAGTTGCTTTTAAGTTGCTTTTCAAAATCAGTTGCAAAGGGAAATAATGTTTATAAAGTGGGCCCATGCATTGCTGTGCCACCTGCGCAGATTTTATACGATAACTTCTAAAGAGAGACTTCATAGACATGTTTACTCTAAGCCATAGAGGCAGCGCGCATTTGAATCCAGAGCGAATTTACCCCTCCCACTTATGCTGCCTTTTGTCATGTCACCTCTCCCCTTGAACTTCAAAGGCTTTCAGGAACGAGGGAGGAAATTATCACGCAATTTCATGGAAAACTAAAACCTTTTTTCTCTCAGCCAATCTGGGTGGAGTTTTAGAATTAAGACTCATGAGTCTCTCCTCTGTAACTTTAAAAATCACCATAATGAAATGCTCTGATTGCCTTGCCATGCTCCCGGTTAAAAAAGGAAAAAAAAAGCTGCAGAAATAAGCTGCAAAGAAATGGCATCCTATTAAATAATTGCAGACAAATTAGAAGTCCATCAAAACTTTCCAGCAATTAATTCTCCCTCTTTGGAAAGCATGGAGAGCATGAGGAAGGGTAGGTGAAGATGGCACAGAAGCAAACAGATTTATTTACTGGACTCAATACTTTTAATGCAACCAACACATTTTTTTTGAGTCTTTCGACAGCTCACTGTGATGTAAGCCCTCAGCTGAATCAATGAAAAAACACCACGAGTGTTAGTGTGTTAGATTAAAGGAAAACAGGTTGGGACCTCACAAAAATCACAGTAATAGTCATATTTGCAGACAGTTTAACTCGTGATTTTAGTTGGTTTCTCTGAGAGGTATTATCTGGCAGCATCAGAAGTGCTGTTGCTATGGTTACCTACATTTTACAGCACCTTGCACATCGGGCAGTGGATGAACTGTTGACATATACCTCGGAGCCAATCAGAGACAAGTGTTTGTTTTACCGTGGTCATGGCTCCAACTATGTTGCTTTTGTATAGTTTCTCTGTTTATATCAACCACCATAGACTTGACTGTGTGTAAGTAACATAAGTGTGTCTGTTTCCAGGGTCGTAACCTAATTCCTGCAGCCCCAGGAAATGCTAAGCTGAACTACACAGTGCTGATCGGGGAGACGCCCTGCATTCTCACCCTGTCTGAGAGCCAGCTGCTCTGCGAATGGCCTAATCTGACCGGAGAACACAAAGTCACTGTGAGTGAAACTTCAGGTCTATCTACATTTCTGTAATGTTTTCCGTTTGCGCGCTGTGTCTCTCTCTTCCACCCCTGACTTATCACAATCTGAGCAGATCACTGTGTCATTCAGGTTTAAGGATTTGGCTTTACAAAACCTGAACATCATCTCTCTCTAAGTTATATTGATCCTGTGTTAAATAGTACCTGTTATTTCATCAACCTGCTTCATTTAGGGTTTTTTTTGTAATTCATTCCATTGCTGGTGCATCTGGCTTTCACATTTCTCCTATTTTCCGCTGCAGCCCCTGTTCCCTCTGCTGTTTCCACTGTGCCTATTCATCACCCTTCTTTAATGTCAATCCACTTCCTGCCTTTTTATTCATTCATCTCATTCTTTCTTCCCCACCCATCAGACTTAAATCTCTTCAATTACTCTAGATTTCCTTTACCCATTCATATAGCTGCAAGCAGATGAACACACGTATCCCTTCTCTTATACGCTGGCAGCATTTGCAACTGTATTTATGTCTTAGAGGCTTTTGATCAGTCTGGTTTTGGCTGGTATCCTCCTTCAGATTTCAATAGTATTGATATTCAATAGAAACCAAAAAATGCCTAGTGGGTGTGATAGGTCTGTCTATTTTTACCCTCCTCTATTTGCTATTTCATAGACTTAAGCCAGTTAAAGATGAAATAAAAGGAGGATAAAGAAGAGGAAAAGAAACCTATCCAAATGTTGTTGGGTTTTTAAATTCCCATTTTCTGTCAGCAAGATGTGTGTGTGTGTGTGTGTGTGTGTGTGTGTGTGTCTAAAGCTATATGTTCTTTTGCTCATTCCCAAAAAATTGTCTCAAAGCACAGATATGACAGACATGTAAAGAGTTTTGGGGGATTTTAGCCTGCCCTTGGCTTTACTTAGCACAACTTGATTTGCCAACATAAAATTTGAAATACATTTCAATTGTATCGTAGGGCTAAAATCATCATGTGGGATACATTTGTGATTGTTTCAGTTACACAGTGCGAGAGTCATACATGGCTCCTCAAACCTGTAACACAGCTAATTTATTTCTTAGCTGATAAAAAGAAAAGTAGTTTGCAGCATCTCTCTTTCACATACTGTCCCAACCAATCTGCTTTTGTTCTGAGTAAGTGTGTGCTGTCTTTCATGCGCCTGCTCTCCAGGCAAAATAGTATACTCCTCTGAATGTGTCTATTTCGTAGGTGCGTGTTGGAGGCTTTGAATACTCACCAGGGACACTGCAGATCTACTCAGACAGCCTTCTCACCCTGCCTGCCATCATTGGTATTGGAGGAGGAGGTGGACTGCTCCTGCTGGTTATCATTGTGGTTTTGATTGCTTATAAGAGGAAGTCGCGGGATGCCGACCGCACTCTAAAGCGATTACAGCTGCAGATGGACAACCTGGAGTCTAGGGTGGCCCTTGAGTGCAAGGAAGGTGAGTCCAAACAAAACCTGTGTGTCAGGGGTGTGATGCTAGCCACTCAAAACGAGAAAACCCACTTTTATTATGTTGGTATTTCCTTGTTTCTTTCTATTTCTCTTCCCACATACTTCTCTCATCTTTCTTCACAAATAACTCCCATGCCCCCAAATCTCTCCCACACTGCAGCTTACCTAAAAAGCTGAACAACTTCCATTCAGTAGTCCTATCCATTTCTCTCTCCCGCTCTCTATTTCCCCCTCACTCTCACTGCCAACTGTCCCTCCGCTGTTAGGTGGCAGCGGTGCGTGTGTGTGTGTGTGTGTATGCGCGAGCTTGGGTATTGGTGTGTTTCCAGAGGACTACTTTGATCTGAGCCAGCCACCAGATGTTGGCTCTCCACCCCATGAGAGAGCTGCCTGGCTGGCCTCGCTACCATCCACACTGAGAGGGGGAGGGCTAGATGGAGGTTAGATAGAGACAGGGCACAGAAGTGTGAGATTGTAAGGAAGGAGTGGTTTGGCAACTGCTGAACCGGGGGGAGAGATGGAGAGAAACTTACACACCAATACATTAGCATATATTCATTTGGCTGGAGACGGCATGGATTGAGTGAGAAGCTGCTGATGCTGTTGTGGGTTTGTCTGGCAGGAGAGAGAGAAAAGCAGATGGGGAGAAAGGGAAGGGGAATACTGATAACTCTGATCATTGCAATGCGTTTGAATTTGAGATCACTTCACTTGTTGCATTTCTTTAGTGAATGTCAAATATAGTAGGTATGTCATAAATTTATTGTTACTCATTCCACTGACTTGTTGTGCTTTTATTAAATATAAAAATATAAATTTTCATTCAGAGGTCAGTTGCATTTTCATAGTGTCAAGGGAGATTTAATACCACACCTGAATATCTGGATAAAGTACATGTGGCCAAGTTGCATTGTGGGTCATGTAGGAGCCAGGTCTTAATGTAAAAAAGGAAAAAAAACAAAAAAAAGATTGGTATGCAATAGCTTTATTTATGCTGATTTATGATAATTGATTTACTGTGGCCACAACCTGGGATTATCTGATTAGTTTCCTTGAGTCTTAACTGTCAGTCATCTGTTCAGAGGATGATTTTGTGGTTTGTTTTTTTCCTTTGCGTGCTATTCCTTCATCTCACCCGATGCTCGCATCTTTACATCCTGCTCTTTTGCAACTACCTCCAATCACACAGACCTAAACTCACATTGCAGGTCATACTGTGATTGGCTGGAGTGTGTAGAAGTGAGTCCATGTGCCCTGACCCCGTCTGTCCCTCTCTGTCAGTACTGTCTGGAAGACAAGAGGGCAGATTTGGAGTGGGAGGAGAGTGAGGGAGATAAATATGGCAAACAAGTCATGGGAGTAGATGGGAGGCAGAAGAAGAAGAAATGGACAGGAAGATTATGCAAGGGGTGGGAAAATGAAGAGAAAAGAAATATCGGAGAACAAATTTCAAAATGGAGAGAGTGTGTGCTTGGATGGGAAGATGGAGGATGCTAGATAAATATGTAGTGGCAGACGGAGCTGGGTGGACAAATAAGAGGACAACATGGAGAGAAGGGACTATTTGAGATGAATAAGGAATGATGGAAATAAAGTCCTTCTATCAAGAAAGGCTTAGCCAGGAGATCAACTAAAACATTATAGGCTTGCAAAGAGAGTTGTGTAGAATAATGCTGAGAGGTGGAGAAGGAAACTAAACGGATAAATGAGAGAAAGATGGAAGGATGTAGTTAAGAGGAGGTAACCATAAGGGGGAGAAAGGTGACCTCTAAGATGTCACTTTGAAAGGAGGAAGGGAGGGAGAAAAGAGATTAGAAGAGAGGGACAGGGTGACACAAGCCATCTGTTAGTCTGGGCTTTGCTTCGTTATTTGTTTGAGTTGTGTTTCCATGTGTTAGTGTATTTTGGATGATGCTATATGGCGCACACACACACACAGAGCTGTGCTAATAGAACCATATAGCTGTATATTTTCTACCTCAAGGGAGTTTTATGTTTATAAAATAGATTTGGGGCAGTCCACCAAAACCATTTGCTGTATACACTATTGTATGTGATGTGTGAGAGAATGGATTTGATCCCATATTTTCCCTCTAGATGTGGCTCGTGAAGCCAGTGGAGTATACAGAATGGGGTCAGAACACACACTTTGTGGGAATGGAAAAAGTGTGAAAACATTGACATGTGCGTTCACATAAATCATCTGGGCACAAGGTTATGTGTTCAGCTGTGGGGTACAACAGAAAAACTGTGTGTGTGTGTGGGTGTGTGCGGGAATACAAGCATGAGAGGTGGCGGTGTATAATGTGTGTGTACTCACAGGCTTGCCATGTGTGCAACTGCATCCTGAACTCCCCTCCAGCCACTGAGCAGCTCCAGAATACTTTCTCTATCAGCCATCTCTCCCTCTCTCTTTCTTTGCACTCTTAGCACAGAGTGATCCCATAAGGCTGCTTTTCACTGCTGCTCTTTGAGACACCTCCACCTTCTCTTCATATCATCCATGTTCCTTTTTTCTGTTCCTCCTCAGGAATGTTTCCAAACATCAGATTGATGGCATGACAAGCCAAGATCTTAAGTGTGATTATTTTGAAAACTATGGTTCTCTTTTCTGCATGTTTTTTCCCCAATTTCTGACTATTTAAAAATATAAATTGAAAGTATTTAACATAGTAATAAACACCTTTAAATCTTTAATGCCCAGCTTTACCCCTTAGTAGTTTTTTTGTTTGTTTTTTATCGTTTTTATCCTATTCGACCCCATCCAGTACTTAATAAATACCAATCAGAATGTCTCAGTTTTCCAGGAAAATGCTTCCGCAATGTTTTTGCAGATGAACAGATGTATTTTACATCTATTAAGCAGTGGTTGTTTTGGGATATATAAGAAAGAAGTGTGACAAGTCATAGTCATTAAGTGTGTTTAAATGAGCCCTTTGTGTTGTGCTAGTGCTGACAATGCTAAACACTGCACAGAGCACCACTTCCAACCAAATGTGTCATCAAAATCAACTAAACAGTCTTGTATATGGCAGTCTGCTCTTTATTTCATCTTGAGAAATGTGTCTCTCTTTTGGAACTTAAAATACATTTGTAAGCATTTCCCGTTTCTTTTCTCAGCCTTTGCAGAATTGCAGACGGACATCCATGAGCTCACTCAGGAGCTGGATGGAGCAGGAATCCCCTTCCTGGACTACCGCACCTATGCCATGAGGGTCCTCTTTCCTGGGATTGAGGACCACCCTGTTCTCAAGGAGATGGAGGTACGGGTCAGTAGAGAGCACCCTGCACACACACAAACACAGGATGAGGGAATGTTTCATAGATTTCATGTAGGTGAGATTTGAAAATCATGTTAGAGGTAGGCAATCTGAATCCAAACCTTCTAAAACTGCATCTTAGTCCAAGATATCAGACAGAAGGGTTCAAGTCCAAACTCTCAGGACAAACTCTAGTTTTGTGGCTGTTTTGAGGGGCAATGTCTGAGCTCCACTAAGACTCCGCACAAGTGATAGATTGCCTCTACAGTACTGAGCCTGTTTGAGGCTCCTGAAAAAGCAGTGTTCACATGTTCAATAAAACACACTCCGCTCTACTATTGTTCGTTTCTCAAGAGGAAACACTCTATTACTAACATGAACTCAAGCGCTGTGGACACTGTAATGCAAGGTGCACCTGTACCACTGTCATTTCTCTGTACATTACAGTATCACGCACGCATTTACCTGGAAAATGCATGCATGGTGCACTGACATGCACATAAGGTTATGACTACAGAGACAAGCTTTAGAGGAATTCACTATCTGCTTGTGCTATCAACTGTATTCCAAAGGGATAGTGTTGGATTTTCATTTGGATGGCCCAGGCAATCACAAGCCACAATAGTGCGCTAGCAGGCAGATCAATTTCTTATTACTGCCTAAAGCTCACATTCTTACTTCAAGCCTCACTTTCTTTACCTGAGAAGGGGAGGCCTGCCAGTTACGTTGAGAGGAGAAGAGGGAAAAGGGATGACAGTGAGGGTTGTAGGATAGAGAGAACTGGTTCAACAGTAGGCAGGTTTTCAAAGCTGCAATGTGCCGTTTCCTACATGCATGTGGAAAATATAAGAGTATTGACATGATTATGCATGGAGAGAAAATAGAGCACATGTGGCTCTTTATTCATGTCATTTGATAAATCCTGTTTTAAAACATACTCATGAATCCATTGCACAGCTATAACTCACAACCAGTTCATCATATTTTCAATCTTTTCAAGTCCCTTTATCTAATTTTCCCCTATATCGCTATCTTTGATCTTTCTTTACTCTTTTCTACCAACCTTCTACCTTCCCTTTCCTTCTTCGTTGTCTTCTTCTCCTCTGTGAATTGTATGCTTCCTTAAACCTACCATGATCACCTCCATTCACTTTATCTTCTCCTTGTCCAACAATTGACTGCCTCTTTTTTTCTTTATTCAACACTCCTTCTTCTCCCAATTCTCCTTCCCCTTCATCACCTCCGTCCCCTTCTCCTTCAGGTACCCGCCAATGTGGAGAAGGCCCTGACGTTGTTTGGCCAGCTACTCACCAAAAAGCACTTTCTGTTGACCTTCATTCGCACATTGGAAGCACAGAGGTCCTTCTCTATGCGAGACAGGGGCAACGTGGCCTCCCTCATCATGACAGCACTGCAAGGAGAGATGGAGTATGCCACCGGTGTCCTCAAACAGCTCCTGTCTGACCTCATTGACAAAAACCTGGAAAGCAAGAACCACCCAAAGCTCTTACTCAGGAGGTACAAAAAGCAGGAAATAAGAAGGGGAGGGAAAGGGCTAAAACCTGGCTTTGGGGAAAAAAACATGCCACACGTGCACCAGTTAGTTGCAGGTTCGGGTTTGAGGAAATGCATTTGTGCGTGTGTGTTTTCAGGTATTTTTCCTTTTTCTTATATTCGCTGTGTTGGGATGTTCTTGACAGGAAGCACCCTAACAAAAAACCCCTGACTAATTATATTAAATTCAACAAAAAATAAGGGAAAAAAGTAGTGTTAATTTTTCATTTCGTCATGTCAGTGCTGCTGCACATTCAAATAATCCACGTAATTAGACCTGTTGTAGCATTAAAAAGGGAAGAGGAGAACATGAACATATATTCTTTGTCAGAGTATCGAGTGATGTATTTTTTCAGTTTGCGGCTGAAGTTATGAGGGAGGAAGGCAGGGGACAGTGACTGCAGCTTTTAGAGGCCTGTGTGACGTTACCTCCTCTCTATTTCTCAACCCTGTCCCTGTCAGAGAGGATTACACCCCTGAGCACACATACAGTCCCACTGGAGCCACAGTCAGACATACTGCTCTCTCATTTCTCACAAACACACAGAGAAAGATGAAGAGGGGGGGGAAGTACAAGAGATGCAGGGGATGCAAAGAGGGAGAGGAGGATTTACAAGAGTTGGTCTGAAGAGTAAAGAGAGAAGGATTTGGTAGGGAAAGGGGAAAGTAAGAAACAGGGGAAGGCAAAAATGAGATGTGAAAAGGGAAAAGGTAGCAAGATAAAAGTGGCTGAAGTAAAAGAAGGTAGTGAAATAGTGATTGACAGAAAAAGAGGGCAAGTGGCTGGAGGGAGACTTGAGCTACAAGGAAATTGATGAAGGGTGAAACATATAGAGGAGAGATGGTAAAGAGGGAGAAAGAACAGGGAAGGGTAGTACAGAGCAGATAGGCAGAGGGAGAAAAGAGAAGGAAAATGAGCTACTGCTGACAGCCGAGCAGAAAAGGATACACATATTTAAGGAAAGACACAATTAGAGAAATGGCCTGTCTCCAAATAAATTGGAATTGGACATTAAATGATAAAAAAAAAGTTACATTTTTTTTCTTCTCCTACTCCTCGGAGAGATATTTAATTAAAAATCTAATCAAATAAATGACTCTCAGCCAGCGTGCCTGTGTGAAGTCTTTTCCAATCCCCTCTTGGGGCGTATGGTCACAACACGCTGTCCCTGTTAACTACACTTGCCTCAGGAGTCGGTGTTAATAAGCTCTGCAATTGTTGCACATGGTTCACCCTGTTTAGGTCTTTTTAGTCAATAGATAGATGTAAAAGTCCTCTCCCATGGGGATCTCCACCTCCTTTGATGAAATTATACTTTTGCATTGGGTGCAGTTGTTTTGTATACTGTGCGTTGAGATTCATTGTCTGTGTGCAGCTGGCAAAAACACAAATGCGTCATCGCTTATTCCCGTACGACGTGTTCAAAAATGATGTTCAGGGGCATAGATTAGAAGTTACCAGTGGACGTCACGTGCTCAGAAACGGGGTTTGTCCCGGTTTATTCACTCGTTATGTTTTCTGTACCTCCGTTCTCCGCTGCCTCATCATTCGTTCTCTATTTTGCTGACAGGCATGAAAAAGAAAAAATGCTCTGCATCCATTCAATAAATCCAACAGTCAAACAGGAAGGTTTGAGGAAGCGTAGGAGTACGTGTCTCATTTGTGCTACAGGCCTTTATTGGTTTTTACTACTACATTGGCCTAGTTTCCAGAGTTTCCTCTTTTCTGTCTTACTATTTATTGGGCATGAAAATTTTTCAGCATAATGTAGCTGTCTTCACATTTCACCCATGGTGCCGTCCTAATGACCGAACGACTAATATTTGCGATAAGTATTGGAACGTGGCCCAGTTAGATAACCTAGTAACACAGGTGTACCCCACGTCAATATAAGAGAAAACAAGTGTTTCTAATGTGAAAAGCATGGAAGTGTGGCGGTAACACAGAGAAAGATTTTTATTTTCCCCCCCCCCCTGTTTCCACCCACATACCTAGAGTGCCGGTGTCCCTCTCAGGTATTTAACAAATTAGACACAATAAGTCATTTAATTGCTCGGTTTTCATTTCATGCACTTGTTGCTCACGTGTTTGCTTGACACATGCACGTGCGGAGGTTCCCCTCATTACATGGCAGGTTTGTGATTAACGAGAGAAGTTAGCGAGTTATACTAATTGCTGTATTTTTTATGAAGATTAGTGGGTTTGCCTAGAGGTAGTGTGAAGAGGGGATGGAGCAATGTAAGAAACTGAAGGATTTGCTTTCTTACATTATCTTTTTCTTTGGTTGTCTGAAGATTAACTGCATGAAGACTGATAATGTCATGTAGTGTCTTTGACATGCAAGCGTGTTTCAAATGTTTGTTTTTTTGACCATAGATTATAACCAGGCAGTCCAAGATGCCAAAACCTCCTCATACAGAGACTTTACGCTCCACTTGTGGCACATACTACTGTCTTTTATTTCCAGTTCACCCTCACCCATTACCCTCTCCTTTCTCTCTCCCATTTTCTTTCATCGGTCTCCCAGGACGGAGTCGGTTGCTGAGAAGATGCTCACCAACTGGTTCACCTTCCTGCTTTACAAGTTCCTCAAGGTAAAACTGTCCCAGAGGCGCACACACACAGATACACACAATTGCAGAAGCAACAGCATCACCACTGGTGTTTGAGAATTGAAAAATGTCTCACTAACAAGCGCACACATTCACAGCTGCAGCATTAGATAAGGCAGAGGCAGCAGGGTTCCTATTCCTTACCTCTGCCTTTCATGTGGTAAATTCTTCTTTCTACCAGTTGAGGGATCTGCAGAGTCTGAAGCACTGTTCAGACACAGCTGGCCATGTTGGTTTGATCACCGTAGACTGTCGCACTAACCTGTCCTTTCTTTGTCCCAAGCTTGATTCTTTTAGAGCCAGGAAAGTGTCTGTGCGTGTATGCATGGCTGTGTGTCTGGATGGCTCTTCAGACAGTTGGGGCTTATCAAAACAGGAAGCCACACATCTTACACAATTGCATTCTCTTATTTCTCTTCTGTCTTTTTGAAATCCTCTCTCTGATTTCATATCACAGGGACTCACTATAGCTTAAAATGTGATAAATTCTTGCTTCCACACACACATTCTCAGCTTTCAAACATTGCTGCAACTAATCAGTTAGCAGCGGGGCCTTAAACCCCCGCCAGGGCAGGCATTCTGGTGGACAAGAAACCAGCCAAGCCCTCGGGGATCCCAGTTAGCATCTGTGTATGCGAGTGTGTCCGTTCTGGTTGTGCACGCATGTGTGTCTTGGCTCCAAATTAGAGACTGGACGGCGAGAGTGTGGTTCAGTAAAAGGGGAGTGGGTTATCAGAAAAGCTGTTAGGGATTTTTTCAGCAGCTGTGTTTATGAACTTTAGTGGAGACAAAAATAACAGAGAAACAATTAAAAAAAAAAAAGAAGCAAAAACACGGAAGATTGTGGAAAGAAAATGGTTAAAAAGAGGGCAGAGGTGTTTTTGGAGGGTTTAAAGGGCGTGTAGGGAAATATGGGTGGGGGGATGAGTACTGAAGTAAAGAGTTTCTGTAGCTAGCAGCAAGATTAAGCCTCGCTTTCATCCAACCTTTGCAGTTTAATGCCTTTCTTTCTCCTATGTTTTTGGGAGTAACATGAAAGAAAGGCCTGGAACAATTTCAGAGTTCAGCCAGGTGTAAATAGAGATGGGTAAAGGTCAAGTACCTGTTCAAAGAGAGAGCTTTAACCTACGAAACGAACAAGAGATAGGAAAACAAATCCTTTTATCCATTACCCTATTCTAAGCATTCACTTGTCCTCTGTTGCACAAGCTTGTGTGGGATCACATGGTCACTTTATTCTGCTTTAGAGAGAATTTTAGACGAATTATAAAATGTGATTGCTTTAGATTAATTCAATGAACAAATGGCATATATTATAATTCATTTAACAGGACACTGAAGTCAAAAACACTGTAGCGCAGCAAAATGTCTGCGCGACACAATGCTTTTAGAAACGTATAGCATCAGTGCTGCTTTTCCTCACTGGCACCATTTGAAGGAGACAGAAGGACTGAGACGCAGCGCAGAGCTGGTTTGTATGCTGCTAGACAGAGAGGACGTCTGCCAGTGTGCTGTGTTTTCACCATAGGAGGCAGGCAGTGCTAGATTATCCCACAGAGTTCATCTGACAGCTCACCAAGATGACTGACTGGCGTTGATGCATGAACATGTCCAATGAAGCTCGGAGGGCAGCACTTGCAATATTCGGCTTTGCCTCAAGGCACAAAGCTGCAGACAGAAAATGTGAATCACTGGTTAAAAAGCACTAATGTGAACATTATCACACCATGAACGCTTTTAAATACACACACACACACACACACACACACACACACACACACACACACACACATATATCCTCATTTCGCATTTACATCATCAGTTTTGTCTGCAGCGATAAACATGTACTCGACAAATTGCTTGCTGAGATCAGAGATTTGCACAGCATTGCAACACTAAGTTATTCTAAACAAGCAATAATTAAGATAGATTATCTAAACCAGTAATTCTCAGTCTTTCTGACCTCCTGAGCTGCAAGTAATTAAATCATAATTTAATGCTTTTTCATCAGCACACCTAATTTGAAGGTCATAAAATATAAATATATCTCAATTAGTTAAAATCAACACTGTGCAGTGTTAAAATATTAACAAGAAGTCAGGAAAGACGGCACATGACACCTGTAAGGAGAAAATACAAAGCCATACAGGCAGTGCTTAGTTTGCAGGCCTGCTGAACAAGTGAATGGAAAAGAGGGGAAGCAGAAACGAGTGTGAAGAAAAGAGAGACAGGGAACCCAACATCCCAGTGCTTGTTGCCCATTTGACACGTCTCACACACCAAAGTGCTTCTCCCAGCGTTTTTCACCCCTCAGTCGTTAACCTTCTATTAACTTCTCCATCAATTGCCACTCACTCACACTCACACTTTCTATAATTTCTCTCCTCCTTGCTCACTCACTTGCTCACACACACAAATAGAGGCTATTTTTTCTTACTGAGGAAGAGACACAGGGGAGAGGCTGGAGGTTGTGTCAGGGGGGGGAGGGTTTTTGTTTTTAGCGTGCTGTTAGCCAACACAAGCCGTGGCCTTGTCCTTTACTGCTTCGCCTGTGGTTGTCTTAAAGAAGATTAGAAATATAATTGAAGAGTTGCTCTGAAAAGCTATGCACTTTTTGCTGCCGTGTTTTTGCTTGGAAAGTTCTTGAACAGTTCAATGTTCAGTTTTCACTTTGTACAGTATGTCTTTCTCTCCTTTTCTTCATATAACCTTTTGTCACTTTTCCTTGATACCTGTCTCTTCCTACTTCATAATACAACTGCGTGTCTCACTTTTTGAAGGAATGTGCCGGGGAACCTCTCTTCATGCTGTACTGTGCCATGAAGCAACAAATGGAAAAGGGGCCAATAGATGCAATCACAGGAGAAGCCCGCTACTCTTTGAGCGAGGATAAACTCATCAGACAGCAAATTGACTACAAGACTTTGGTCAGTACTCAAAAACATACTTTCTGGACACAGGCGCATTTGTTTCTGAACAAGGTTGTAAAGCAGATGGATGCTTACAACTAAAACAGCGCAATGATGCAGAGCTGATATTTGTCCAGTAATTTTGGAAAATATTCTTTTATCAAAACAGGATCCAACCTGCTAAATCATTATTATGCCTGTATTGATAGGAATAAATAGCTAGCTGTGCACCCCTTCTGCTCTTTAACACTGATTCTGAGGTGCCATATGAAGTGTTTCTTTGCAGGTCAAACACAACCACAGGGTCATGCTCTAACACATCAATAGTTATTACTTCCAGTCTGTGCTGACCCTCTGGTCTAAATGTAACCTGTGCTCTTTCCCTTCCGCCCTTTGCATTTGTAGACGCTGCACTGTGTGAACCCGGAGAATGAAAATGCTCCAGAGGTGACAGTGAAGAGCCTGAACTGTGACACAGTGACACAGGTGAAGGAAAAGCTGCTGGATGCTGTGTACAAAGGGACGCCTTATTCCCAGAGACCGAAGGCCTCAGATATGGACCTTGGTAAGGAGCTGGAAAAAATGAACAACATACAAATATCAAATCACACGGAGAGTCATAACACACAGCTGCGCTGCTATGGGAGATAAAGAGGGAATTGCTTCAAGAGCTCTCTGACACAGAAGGGAGGCACTTCTGACAGGAGTGGGAATTCTGATCCTAAAAAACATCTAGTAATGTGTTTAAAAGTCCGTAAAACTGCACTACACTCACTCTGAATTCGATCTAATTACAGTAGATTAAGTCGTAGAAACCTGATTTGCTGTTTGGAAGTTTAAGTTTATGATGAGAATTGATTGGTGTGCCTAAAAGGGGCACTGACTCTGTCTATGCTGTCTGTCTTGAAAGATTCTTATTCCCTTTCTATTAAACATTACAACCTTACTTAGCACTCTTGTGTGTGTCTGACAGAATGGCGGCAGGGCAGGATGGCTCGTATCATCCTTCAGGATGAAGATGTCACCACTAAGATCGACAATGACTGGAAGAGACTCAACACCCTAGCTCACTACCAGGTAACCAGCTTCTTAATACAGCACAGAATCCCTTGAAGCTATGCTGGAGAAAAACCTCTGTGCTTCTTATTGATGGCGTATTTATGGATTCTTAGGTTACTTATCAAAATGAAAAATCCAGAAATAAATTCCATGTGAGCACTGTGAAAGTTTCTTTGGCTGGACAATAATCTTGCTGCTGGTTGAATGTCTGCTTCAGGTGACAGATGGCTCAGTGATTGCCCTGGTACCCAAACAGAACTCGGCCTACAACATCTCCAACTCCTCCACATTCACCAAATCCCTCAGCAGATACGGTACGAAAGAAGGTGTGTGTGTATTGTATGTGTGGAATTATAAAAATTCTGACTTGTTAATTTTATTTATTTATTTATTTGCAAAACTTGGGATGTTGTTCATAGAAAGAACCTTTAAAAACATCATTCAGAACCTTTCACATGTTAATTTGGCATCTGTCTCATCTACATTAGCAAATTAGCTCAGTGCTTTTCACACCTGTTTACATGACCTGGGACTTGGTTCAAACTGTTCCACAAATACTGGTTTCAATTTACATACTTTGGCCCCTGGAAGCCATTAAATATGATATTGCTAATCAAGTATTTATGCCCTTATCAGTAATATAGTACATTTCTCCACACAGTGTTTTAAGTGAGTTCCAAACCTTTGAAAGAGTTTCGTGTCAGTTCTCCTCTCTGCTGTAGAGGAGTGGATAGTAGTTTTATTATTACTCACTAGGGCTGCCACGATTTGTCGACTAGTCACGATTACGTCGACTATCAAAATCGTCGACGACTGATTTAATAGTCGACGCGTCGTTTGAAACTTTGTAAGATCACAAAAGACGCAGGAATAAGTGGCAGGATTTAAGAGTGTAATAACGGACTGAAACAGAAGATGGCAGCATTGCATGTACAAGGATGTCAGCTACCGTTAAACCCCGAAGAAGAAGAAGAAGAAGCAGCTGTGTCCCAGAATTCATAGCGCGGCCCAGCGCAGTTTCCAACAATGGCGGCAGCTAGTTAGTTTTAATGTTACTCTTATTCTTCTTTCTGGGTCACAAAATAAACGTTTAACATATTTTCAGCCGAGAATGTAGCTGTGTAAACCTCAAATATCTGCTCAGTTTATCAGGACACCACATATTTTCAAAAGCGCTCCGACGTTTTCGGAGACATCTGTTACCCACTAGCTCGTTAGCGAGCCGGGGGCTAGGCTCACTAGCGCCGTGAGAACACCGGACTCCCCGCAAATCGTTTTCAAACCCACCGCTGTCTTTCGCTACTCAGGTTAAATATATATGAGTCACTTAGATAACTTAAAATGTTATTGTTTGGCTTTTTTTTTTTTAGTATTTTATTTGTTCCTGAGTAAATCAGTTTGTCTGAGATTAAAGTTATAGTTTTTGCACAGCGGAATAAACGTCAAGCAGACAGCTGATTATCAGAAGTGTGAGATGCTCCAGAATATACTCCAGTGTCCTGTTATAGTTTAGATAGCAAGGAGTTTATTAAACTTCACCGAAACAATCTGCAAATTTCATAAAAATGTAACAAACTATCATCTTGTCTTTACTTTTAGTGAGCACATACCTTAAACACTTAAAGCTGTAAGCTAATGATAGTTATATAAGAGCAGATGCTGCTGGTGCAATAAGCTGTAGTTTTACGTCTAATGGATGATGATCTGATTAGTCGACTAATCGCAAAAATAATCGGTGACTAGTCGACTATCAAAATAATCGTTTGTGGCAGCCCTATTACTCACTTACGCCACAGTTCTGTCCACTGATGTTCTTCATATCTTATGTGATAAATTATTACAGGTGTAATATTAGTTCACATGAAAGTCTAACAGACATAAAACTGATGTCCTTCATTCAGCCTAAAGAGGCAGATCAGGAAAATAGAGCTGTTTTTCATCTGGTTATATTAGCTCACTTAAACTACTTGTTCTTGTGTTTGCCTTCCTTCGTCTAAGTAAAGTTGCCTTGGGGGGGTAGCTGTCACAGACAGCTACCTGAAGCTTCCCTTGTATACATGATTGTGCAGAAGACTGTTTAATGATCCCTTAACCTCGAACATCTGTTCAAACAAATGCTTGGCCTTCTTGGGGGCATACATGGAAAACAACAGCGTAGCTAAACACAGTATAGCAGTGGTGCACTGAAGTTGTTGCAAAGGAATCAGAAATCTTGAAAGTTTCTTACATATGTGAAATCAAAGAGTCACATGGAGAACAGCATATTTTAGATACATTTTTAAGCTAACAAAATGTCAGAGCTGTCAAAATGCCATATTTGTAATAACTGGTTTAATGTTGTGAAGTAGATCTCAGTTCCTCACGACGTTTTTCCCCCGTCCCCCCCTCTCTTCTACCTCTATAACTGTACAGAGTAACTCTACTCCAGAGCCCTGCCACTGTGGCATACACATAATACTCACTAACACCCCCATCATATTTGCTCCGAGCTTACCTGGTTCACATTCTGTCCTGACAATTTTAAACCCCTCAGTCCTTTGCTGCTTTGTCACGCAGCTGACAAGCATTCAAAGTGGAAGCGTAATACTCTGTGTCACAGATATGACATCAATGTCCGACAAAAGGAGAGAGGGGGCAGGTGAGAGAGTGATAGATGAATTTATTTTGCAGTGAAAGAGTGACATGTAAGTAGAAAAAGCTGTCACATTTCAATAGTGCTTTTAACTTCAGTCAGATTTTGCCGTCTTCAGCTATGCCAGATATTTCATTTGTCTCATTGTTTTTTCTTCTTATATAAATGTTTCTCCTTGAAATGGTGATTAAGACGGCATGAGTCATAATTTATAGCATTTAACACACAGAGCAGCATGAAGGTTTTTGGCTCTTTGACTTATTTCTCCAACACGTCCTCCTTTATCTCTGTGCAGAGAGCATGCTCAGGACAGCCAGTAGTCCAGACAGCTTGCGCTCCCGAACACCCATGATCACCCCTGACCTCGAGAGCGGCACCAAGCTATGGCATCTGGTGAAGAACCACGACCACTCAGACCAGAGGGAGGGAGACAGAGGGAGCAAGATGGTGTCTGAGATCTACCTGACCAGACTGTTGGCCACAAAGGTAAAAAGAGGCTGCGTATTCTCTCACACGCGCAGACCCAGCCTCCCGACTCCACCACATCCCTGTCATGTAGCCCATTTCCACCAGCAGCCCCTGTTGACCTTTGTTTGGTGGTGGTCTCTAAGCTCATTAACATTTTTCGTAACCTTTTCCACAAAGACACACATATGCAGAGTCTTAATTAGGAGGTTGACCTTTGACTATTGAGTTGTTTGGTTGGTGTTACTGGGCCCTCTGTTGGTGGCCTCGGGGCTTTTAGGCCCAGGCCAGTACCCCACGATCATTATTCACCTAATTCCTCCATGTCCTCCAGACCACACTGTGGAAACTGTTTAGGTTTTTATGCAGCATGTGTCCTCAGATGATGATCAGAGAGGTTGGTTTAAAGGCTGGAGTTAGGTCAAGTGTTTGTTGATACTGTGCAAAAACAAACGGCAGGTAATTTGTATTTCTTCCCCGAGTTAGTTGTTAACCACTACGGAGCAGTGTGTGACTGAGCCTCCATGTCTGTTAGATTAGGTTGTGAAACAGAAACTATTTTATTTTCTTTAACTGCTGAAGCTGCTAAAGCAACAACAGCTTTTCAGAGCTATAAAAGAACAGCTAAGAAATGGCTGTGAAGGCCTTGCAGCCATATATATTTATGTACAGTCTAAAGCACACGTTTCCTATAAAGTAAAAGCTTTTGCCCAAATTCATACTTCCACTAAAATAAGTGATGATAAAATAATGTTATTTAAGGATTAATTTAGCAGTGCTAATTACCTTCAAGAAACACCTTTGTTTAATTTTTGCATTAATTGTTACAAACTGCACTTAAGCACAAGGGAAAAAAAACCAACTAAAGTCATTAAGAGAAAAGCTCTTATTCAAAATGCACCCATTTGGTTTCACATTTCCTCAAGAGTAAGAGCGGTTCTGTTCTCTGAATAATGGATTCCAATGATTAACTTGACGATATAATATGATAAAATGTTGCCTTCAACACAAATGTTTTAGTCTAGTTAAGTGTCAGCATTTGCTGTTCGGGCCAGAGAAACGAGGGGGTATATAAAAAAGGGTTTTATTAGATGTATGAAAAGCCAAATTAGCATTTTTTTATTAAACTTGTTAAATGTGAGAAATGGACGACTTTAATGTGTGAATTCTGGCACATCTTAAACACACACATAAAAACACGTGGCCTTCTGTTGGTTTCTGCTCATATACCACTGAATATAAACATACCTCTTTGCATTAATTATAAAATGTCATTTGTCCATACGCTAAAACCATGTCAGGTTCTTGCTCTCATTTGCAGAGCTCCCATGAGCTCCCAGCTATGAAACTGCAAGGTTAGCTGCATCAATGCTGCCTCAACTGGGAAGTGATTAACATACAAGCCAGAGGAGGACAAATGGGGTGGGGGGGCACCTAAAGCATTGCAGTTTGTTCTTATTTATTACAGCCCCCACACCTGTGTGTGTGTGTGTGTGTTTAGGAAGCTGATTTGTTAATGTGTGAACGAATACAAAACTGCAAATTCATCTTGTGGCTGCTTCAAAAAAGGTTTTGTAAAACGTGGCCTGGATGCTTGAAAACGGGGACAAACGTGTGACAACTTGTGGGAAATATCAAATCATTTCAACTTCAGAGAACTTTGTTAGGATTCTGAATTCTCCAGAGTTGTGCGATGTGGTAAAACACTGCAGAACAGCCTTAGGCTGAACTCTCATTGGGCCCTATCCTAAATACTGTAAAGAACACTAAGTGCTCAACATCATCAAAAATTCTCCCAAAGTTGAAGTACTGACAGCAAAGCAGAGTCATCCCAAGTACCTGCTACTGACAGCCATCGCCTGCAGCCACGACAGCAAAGAAGAATGTGCAAGCAAAGGCAGTTGTGTAACTGGACTGTTGAAACATTAAGTGTAACGGGGACAAAACACTCATCTCTATATGTCCATCTTTGGAGACAAAATCTTATGTACACAAACAAACTGGCACATAGTTTTCCACATTTCTAAAATTTGTTTCACCACTTTTTGCATGCTGCTGTTTGCGTGAAAGCCCCAAAGAGCAGGAAAATGTCAACTGGTGTAGTAAAACTCCTAATCCAGTATTGATTCCTGTGCTCAGGGTACGCTCCAGAAATTTGTGGATGACCTGTTTGAGACCATCTTCAGCACAGCGCACCGAGGCAGCGCTCTGCCTCTCGCCATCAAGTACATGTTTGACTTCCTGGACGAGCAGGCAGACAAACACTCCATATCAGACCCTGATGTACGGCACACTTGGAAGAGCAACTGGTGAGTTTGCGCGCGTGTGCAAGCTGTGAAAGGGCATGACTGGCAATATTTGATTGCTGGTTTGTGTTTTGTTGGCATTGGTGTTGCTCAGTAGGAACAATATTGGACAGTAAGCCAACAAATATGGAACACTTTTACATTGTTAGTGCAACAGAATGCACCACGCTTGTATTTTTCCCTGCCAGTTCTAGTATCTAATCACTCGAGACTGCTTGTTCAGTGTGTATGCAGCTTAATGCACTGGTGTGGTATCTCTGCACATTAATAGACCAGTCCTTGTAGCTCTGCAGCTCATCCTTTTTTCTTACTGCTTCCAGTCTTCCACTGAGGTTCTGGGTGAACGTGATCAAGAACCCACAGTTTGTATTTGACATCCACAAGAACAGTATTACAGATGCCTGCTTGTCTGTGGTGGCTCAGACCTTCATGGATTCATGTTCAACCTCAGAGCATAAACTAGGGAAGGACTCACCATCAAACAAGCTGCTTTATGCTAAAGACATCCCCAACTATAAAAACTGGGTAGAAAGGTATGTAAGCATGGTGGATTAGACGTGAATGTTACATTTGTGTGTTTTGTTATATTTCATACAAATATTCAACTGTTTTCGTCCAGGTACTACTCTGACATTTCCAGGATGCCGGCTATCAGCGATCAGGACATGAGTGCCTACCTCGCAGAGCAGTCACGCCTGCATGCTAACCAGTTCAACAGCATGTCAGCCCTACATGAGATTTACTCCTACATCATCAAGTACAAGGACGAGGTGAGATTTAAGTCTTAGTACTACCTAAGAGAAGGAAACAAAGCTGTACTAATGTTACATACTAAATACAAGCTGTTACTTTTGTCTGTATACAAAGACTTACCTTCAGTCTTATTGACATTTAAGAGGCGATTGGGGGACAGGGCTATGGCTCTTTAAATCCTCTTGCAGACCATTACATGTGGAAACCATTTGAATACAAGCGCGCTGATCCACACAGGTGTGCACACGGGTGTTCACTGCTCGTAGACTTAAATTACACCTTTCTTGGCTGCTACTTCAAAGCACATTGTGCGCTGTCTGTCCTGCGTGCTGCACAACAACATTGAATATTTAGTATTTATTGCTGTTTACACTTAGCTAGATTAATGCGATGGTGTTGTGTTTAGTATGTTGCTTTGTTTTTTGTTTTTTTTGCTTGTTTTCTATTCTTTTTCTCTTAACAGGTGATCCAGGAGATTCCCCCCCCCCTTTCTCACTGTCCCTCTCCCCTTCTGTTTTTCTTTTCCTTCCTCTTTCTTTCTCCCTTTCCTATCCCTCACTCATGTCTGTCCCGTCTGTAACAACTGAAAATAAAATAAAATAAATAATAAAAACAAAGGTCGATCAAATGGACCAATACGGCAATGCCACGATGATCCATTTGGAAAAGTAAATCCATTGGGTATCCTTGTTGGTCTTCAGACAACAATTCTGATGGCTAAAGAACCAAATGGGACAGGCGAAAAAAAAAAAAAAAAAAGACATTTAAGAGGCGATTTAGTCGGGCTAACTGAATAAATTAAACCAACTTTTGCATGCTTTATGACCCAGCCATGTGGGAGTCCTTATTCATCCTTATGTAGGAATAACATCTTTGTGCTTTGAAAGCAGGAGCTGTAAGTTTTTTTGCAGCATTTGCTGACCTCTAACCCCTTTTCCCCCCAGATCTTGTCAGCTTTGGAGCGAGACGAGCAGGCAAGGAGACAGAGACTGAGGAGCAAGCTGGAGCAGGTCATCGACACAATGGCGCTGACCAGCTGAGGACCATCGAGCACCTCCTGCTCCTCCTCACTCCTCCTCTCCATCTGTCTCTCTCCCACGTTCCTCTCACCCAGACAACAAACAAAACTCCAACCCCCAAACAATACGACAGACGAAACTGCAAAAGGACCGAGGCAGTATACTGCAAAATGGGGGGATTCGGCAGAGATGGGCGGGGCCTGTGTACGCTTACATGTGTATGTGTGTGTGTTTGTCTGCAGCTCCATACAGTGTGTCTGTGTGAGAGGCTAGGACACGGGACGTTTTTTCACACATACATACATGGAGAACATGTCAACTCGACAGCATTTGATTATTGTGGATGTCGGTGTTTGTGGTTTGCTTGATTTTGATTTCAGGAGTTTTGTTGTGATGACGCGATGGTCAGGAAAGAAACAACGGAAGCCTGGAAAGAACTCCATATACGGCATCATTAGCGGAACGGACCAATCTGTGATGAGCCAATGGAGAGAGGATCTCTCTAGGTCATGTGACTCCAGATGTCACAGTTAGAATTTTTTTTCTTTTTTGTATAAATGTAATCAACTGCCCACTCTCTGATCTCTCGCCACTTGTATTACTGCTGAATTTGCACAATTTACAGAAACGTTACAAAGCAAGACTATATAGATATTATATATAAATACAGCTACGTTTTTAAAGAAAGATTAGGGAGTAAACTTTTTTCTTTTTTTTTTCTTTTCAAACCAACAAATACAATAAAAATAAGACAAAACACGATTTGATGTGGACAAAAAAAACAACGAAAAAAGAAACAAAAAAGTCGTACTGTGCCATGTTTTCTTTGAATGTTGTTTAGTGCAAAGACATTTTGTTAGATGGAATGTGCTACCATATGATTTTAAATATGAACATGCCTAGTGACTGAAAAGAAGTTTTTGAATAACAACCCATCATAGGATCCTTGTTGAAAGTGACAAAGAAAAAACACAAAGTCGCCCATCTCCACATCTTCCAGGTAGAGTTCATGGTGTCACGGTGATAACATGAAGTTGCTGTTGTTTCTTATTCAATCAGTGCAATCTGTTGGTTTCACAAAGCCAAATATATACCTACAGGATGGTTGCTTTATCATGGCCACGTTGGTGTCTGTTTCTTTAATTCAAAGGTCAAGAGGTGACAGTTTTAGTGGCTCGTAGTTTAGTGACGGAACAATGAAGTAGCTACATTGCACTACCTTAAATATTCCTCTTTGCGCTGATACCACCCTGTCTAACTTTCCAGAGGTCATGCTTTTGTGTTAGCCATCCCTGAAAGGATCATTTTCTGACGGTTCTGCAGGAGCAAAGTCTTTATTATTTACAGACTCTGTTCATTCAGCAACCACAGTGAGGTCAAGTAGAACTTCACTGTGGAGAAACAAAGTCAGAAAAGCCATTTCCAGCCTCAAGCCACTTTCCCCCCTTTTTTCTGTTCTCACAACAGAGGTGCAAAGAAAAGACTTAGTGTTATTTCTCCACCTCAAGAACATATATGTTTGAGACATGGGTTTAAGCTTTCTGTCCACGAGGAGGGTATAGAAGTGTACAGAGGTGAGACACTTTGGTTCATTAGCTACACGAGGCTGAGTAATCCTCATCTTTGCCTGCAGCTCTTGTTTCAAAACTAGCCTACTGCCATGTGTGGCTTAAGCTTTTTATATTACTGCTCTCATAAGAGGATTTCTTTGTTTCTGTTTTTTTTTTTGAAGTCACGGTTTTTGACTTTATGGTGAGAAATAAGAGGGGTTTATTTCTGCTTGCCGAAAACCAAACTGGTCTGTATATTGTTTTTGTTTTTTTGTTGTTGTTGTTGTTGTTTCATTTGTAAATTGTATACTTTTTCATGATGAACAAAAGCTGTTTGCCATTTTTTTTGTAATCAGGTTGTTTTTTTTGGTTTTGTTTTTACTTTCATTTGTTATCTGTAAATTGTACATTTTATGGTACGCAGAAGACAAAAGTCTCTTCAGTTTGCCTGAAGTTGAAGTACTTGACCGAACTCAAGGTTTATTTTCCTGATCTCTAGGATCAAAATGAAATTGTTGAATCAGATGAGCGTCTGTGTTGTCGTGATGGAAATGTGACTTGCTGCTTTAACTCTTGTACCTTGTTTTTCTATCGAACATTAGGGCTGTCATTTTATGCTGATCATAAATGCTGTCCAATCCTCTGTTTACTGTACATGTCTGAGATGCAACATGACTTCTACAGCTGTATGCTTACGAGCTTCATCCCAGTACTCGCTGGGACTTGATAGCTCACTATGTACCTGCCAGTCTTAAAGGGACCACTCTGGCCATGCTTGGATAGAAATTTCTCCTTTTCATGTCATCATGTTGGTTACACATGTTACATTATTTCTAATAGAAATGAAATCCTTCACTAAAATGTTCTTAGTCTATTATGAAAAACAAAAAAAGTAATCATATTTTGGATTTGTTTTTTTGTTTTTTTCCCCCCTTCTGACTTTTTACTGCATTCATACATTTTGGTGCTCTTTCTGTATAGATCACGTGGAAATGAATGACTGCTGAGACTCAGTGGTGCTGTTAACAGCAGTCCTCTGGATGGTCTGTATGAGTGCAGTAGGGACAAATTCACTCACTCCCTCATCACAACTGAGGCTGTGGTGTCCAGCTGATGATCTGTCAGGCTTTTCAAAGACACTTACACATTCTCAATCCATTCTCAGGTTCATGCTCCATTTGTGTCCTATTCCACTCGTAGCTCTGTTGATTAAACGACTGCTGGGGGAGTCGTGCTTGTTTATCATTTGCATGGCTACTTGCCTTTTAAATTGACCTTCTTCTCAAGTCCACATGTATTTTTTTTCCAGCTGCCCTTCTCTACTATTCATTTTTCACTGTTTACTACAACAGCTGACTTGTGTTTATTGTTACTCGGTGGCCTAAGAGTGTAGGCTGTAGATTGAATTGCTGGGTTTGCTGCTGTTGTCAACCTTCAGAGTGAGTAGACTCAGCTCAAAGTCATGTTTAATTCTCAGCTTCATCACATTTTTGCCTTTTCAAACCATTGCTGAATCAAATGAAGTCCTGGCATCATTCTGTGTTTTTTTTCCTGCTCGCTTCTGATTCTTGGAAATTCATTATTTCTTTTTTTTTTCCTCCTTCAAAATGGAAGTTGCATAGAACCCACGGAAACGCAAAGCAAAGGAATTTCAAGTATAGTGGCTAAAGAATTTTAATACTACAATAACTGATACATTTTTAGAGTTTCAGACTTGAAGCGACTGTCACAAGTTTGCAGGTTAACATTCATTGTGTAAATATTCTGTTATTTCCTATTTTGCAGATTTACTACTTGTAAATAAACACGCATCAAGGAGAGATTAAACATTTTTTGCTAAATTTGTGGCTTGGATTTTATTTTTTTTATTTTGTCATCAGCCGTGTTTAGAGATGAAAATGTTGTTGTTGAGCAGCTTTGTTGATACATGTCTTGCATTAATCACTTGACAGTCTGCTGTACACATAATTTGAGATCCCCAAAATCCGCTACTCAAATGTTTACATTTATGCTGCCCCCCTCGATGGACGATTGAGTCACCCTCACAACTTTAAACAGTCTTTTGCCAGGAAAGTTTAGCTGCCTGCTTTACTCTGACCACAAGGCCCTAGTCACACCCAGGGGCGGATCTAGAGAAATTTTCTTAGGGTGGCAAAGAAATCAAATGGGGTAGCAAAATCAAAGCCTTTTTTCCCCAAACACATATGCAGGTGGTTACATATGGTTATAATGATTCAAATGCAGTAAGTATACACGTTTAAATAAATACATGTTTTAGTAAATTTTTATAACTTGAAATGCAAATATAAATTTTACATTTTGTAAACATATACAACTATTTATCTAAAAATGCAGCCAATACACCTGACATTTTTATTTTTATTTTGTACAACCATTTCAAAATATTACTAAAACTAAAATGAGAGAACAATCTGGTGTCGCAATAAGATGCCCCAAAAATTATGTGTGCCAGTAAAAAAAAAAAAAAAAGTTTTTCAAGTCAAGTCAACTTTATTTGTCAATTCTGCCACATGTACAGGACATACACAGAATAGAAATTGCGTTACTCTCAAACCCTAGTGATTAGAAAAATGCAAATAAAATAATTAAAAAGTAAAAATTTAAATAAATACAATACAATTTTACGTATAACAAAAAAAAAGCTATGCAATATACAATATTCAAGTAAGAAGGCATAGTGGTGCAAAATAGGCAAATAGTGCAAATGGAGATTTAGTAGTGTACGGTAAGAGATAGTGTAACAGCAAAGTCTTATGAGGTAATGGCAGTCCAATGCTCCACAAAGTGACTGGAGCAGGCCAGTGAGTGCGTCAGAGAGTGAGTGTGTGTGTGTGTGTGACAGAGTTCAGTGAGACCGTGGTGGAGAAGAGGGGAGAGGGGGGCAGAATCGGGAGGGAGTTTAGCTTCCTGACAGCCTGATGGATGAAGCTGTCCTTCAGTCTGCTGGTCCTGGCCCGGAGACTCCGCAGTCTCCTCCCTGACGGCAGCAGCTTGAAGAAGCTTTGCATTGGGTGCGTGGGATCAGCCGCTATGCAAAGGGCTTTTTTAGTGAGATGGGTGCTGTAAATCAGAGGTGTGGACTCGAGTCACATGACTTGGACTCGAGTCAGACTCGAGTCATTAATTTTATGACTTTAGACTTGACTTGAAAAAATGTTCTAAGACTTGTGACTTGACTTGGACTTTTACGCCAATGACTTGGGACTTGAATTGGACTTGAACCGGTTTACTTGAAAAGACTTGATATTTTACCCCAAATATAAAATTTAACATGCATATTATATAGAGATTGAAAATGTGACGTCATTCACGGGTAGAACCGCAAAGGATTCTGGGAACTCGTGGCAAGCGGTACTAGCGCACGCAGGCTTTCAATTAAAATCAGTTACACAGCGATAAAAAGAAACACAAAAATGGCAAGAAGCTGTTGTATCATTAACTGCAATAGCCGGTCGCATGACAGCCACGGGAAGCCGACGGGTAAAGAGATCGGTTGTTATCGGATTACGTCGTTGAAGAGAAATTGTTCAGCCATGTTTCCGAAGTAACAAAGACGCGACTGGATTGCAGCCATTCAAAGATCAAATATAACGTCCCAGAACACTCCAGCTCACAGGTTAGTCTGCTCCAAGCATTTACACGAAGGTCAGTGTTTTTTAGTAGTTAATGCGTCATTTTCATAACATAATTAGTGATATAGGTTACAAGCAAGTCTGGCGCTGAACAGAAATTGTCGCTCCTTTATTTATTGTGCATAAATAGTGAATTGTCCTGACACAATATTGCGTTTCGCTTCTGTTATTATGGTACATTGACAAAAACATATACTTTTATTCACAGGATAAAACAGGTTTTTTGTATCACTAATTGTCCAGTACGATTACAGCATACAGTATTATTGTCACTGCTACATTTCTGTGATGCTACCAGAAATTATTTCCACTGCTAATTAATTACCGTTGAGCTCAAAGGTCCTATTAATAAACGGTTAACGAATGTGTATTTATGAAGACGATTTGTGAGACTGGTAAACTTATGATACGTACGATGGTCTTTCGTTCTACACGGTGCATTTCAAGGTCCTGCACCCATCCGTCGGTAAACTGTACCTGGACTTGTTGCAGTGACCTGAAGTTACTAAACTTCACGAG